GGCCTTTCCACCAGCCATTTTGGATAAGCGTACTTCCTATAGGTGCCCTTGGTAACACACCACTTATAAAAACTATTCGCTTAGTTTATGTGAAGTCTACAGTATAAAAAAATTAATCAGGATTGGGATACTCTACATAATCGGGCGCTTTTAAGAACTTGGTAACTGCCCAGTGGTTTTCATGTGGAAATTTCTGTATTGGGCAAGTCGTCAACATTTGAATTCTAAAACTCTTCTAAATTATACATTCACTTCAGGATTTTATTAATATAGTTCTAACCTCATAAGAAATTTCCGTTGCGAATTTAATAAACACTGCACTCAGGTTACTATAATTTGAATTTTTCTTAACTGCACATAGGGTGAAAAAAAAATTTTAATAATAACTTTCTGTTATCGATAACATACACTGTGAACAGAACTCTAATGAGTGCTTTCTTTTTTTAAAACCTGTCGTTACAATTTTTTTTTTGTCAACTTTCTTTTTTAAACCAGGTTTAAGAAAACTTTTTTTTAAACCTTTCTTTAAAACAGTCCCACAAACATAACCAGCAGCAAGAATTAACCCAACTCTTCAATCCTTCGTGAGTGTTTTATTTATTTATACTATCGTACACAAGTCCAAAGCTCGTTCATGTTAGCAGGCGCGGATTCGTATGAATTCAATTTCCTCTTTAAGATTTTTTATGCATACTTAATGGGATTAAGATCGGAAGAATGCGGAAGCCAGCCTAGCTCTTTAAACGACTCTAATTGAAGTCATGGTCGCACGGAGTGCAGTGTGACAGGCATTAACCCTCTGAAAACTGTTTCATCAAGATTAAGCTCATACAAATCGCATGTTTTGGTTAGGTCATCTTAACAATGTCAAATACTTGATTACAGTAATGCTTCCGATCACTGTTCCAAATGTCCAACACCCCTTTAGATATTATATCGATCCTCCATGGTTACACGTGCGCACGCCAGATCTTAACACCACTTTATACCATTTGAATCATATCCACTGATCTTGGTCTCTGTTGGAAAAATTACTTTTTCTTAAGACAGGTACGGCCAAGTTGCGTACTTCTTCGCTAACTCAAATCTTAGTCCTTGTGACGGTCTGCCAAAGCGAATTCTCATGGAGACCAGCAGAAAGCAATGCTGTCGATTTATGAGAAATCTGCGACTCTCCGTCGCACATTGGTAACCCCTAGCGAGTCTGATCCTCACAAGAGACCATAGTCACGACAAGAACGGTTGGTAAATAATCACAATTGTCGATAGAGTCAAATCTTAAAACTAATCTATCTAATGTTGGTATGATTTTTGAGGTTTCCTGTGCAGGTTCGATTGCCCCGATGTCACTTCCCGAATAAGTCGAGCTTGTACGTTTTTTTAATATCATTGGACGCCCAGGTCCATTGCAAGGACGATTTGTATCATATTGAGCTTTTATGTGAGATAAAGTGGCTTCACTGACATCTTTAAGAGTGATCTCCATATAAGATTTGCCTTCTAAAAGGCATATTAAATCATTTTTTTATTGATTGAAAGTTTACGAATTATTAAATTAAGTCCTCTAAATAAGCTATCTTTTATAGTCACTCAAATGCTTTAAAGAAAACTTCATTGACGGAGCGATCATGAAAATTTCGTATAAAGATTAAAACAATTTTGCACTAAGGGGGTCACGTGCAAAATCGTTTCAGTTAGTAAAACTTTAAAAAGAGATAAACTTGAGTAAGAAAGCGATTCCTATAATATCAACTACATCAAATAGATTTAAATCTAAACTTAAATATATATAAAGCGGACAATGAAAGCATTTCCTAATTAAAGCGCTAGATATTTAAACGAAAAAAATTTAAAAAGTATAAACAATTTCTAAAGATAGTGTAAAATAATTAACATAAGGGTAGATAGAAAGAGAAGAGAAAGCCACATGTCATTTTCCTGTTTTGATTTACAATTTTGCAATGTACTCTTTGCTAAAATTATGATTCCAATTTTTCACTGGCTCACGTGGATATACTGAAGAGACCAAAGCGGTAATGCTATTTTTTATGCCGAGCTTGTTTTAGCTGTTTTAGTTATCGTCTTTTCTTGGGCTTCTGTCCTTGCTTTAGTCGATAAACCACGTTTATTACTTCTTTTTATAGTAGTCAATGTAATTCAGGACACCTTCATAGGGCTTATTACCCTATAGTTTCCAGCAGGAACAGGCGTTTTGGCATAGATACCTTAGAGTTCTTAAAATTTTTTTTCCTGATAATAATTATATTTTTTAAATTCTATTTTTTCTTTTATAAAACCTTAAACTTATTGCATGACACTTAAGCTCGACAAATAAATTATTTTTTAATACTTAAAGTAAAAGCATATTAAAATATTTCATAACCTTTTGGGGTTATTATCATATGAATTAATTATCCTAAGGTTTTTTAAAAAGGTTTGACGAAGGTCAAACATTATATATGGTCGGTTTACGGTTAAATAAAAGCTATATTAACACGATTACTTTAGTATCCCGCATTGGGTTTATAAATTATAACGCTGTCAATTCGGCAAATAGTACATAGCAGATAATATTGTGGCATCTTTAATTCATTATTTAGCTGTGCTTAGTACCTAATGTGTCTTAGAAGCAGCAGAGCGGCTTTTTGGTGGCTGAAGACTGCATAGCTAAACGTTTAACCTTCTAACTCTATCAAACACTGACTATGTATCTCTGACTGCAATTATTAACCTAAAAAAAAATAGAGAAGTAATAACCTTACTATAAAGAGTTTAGTTTTATTCGATGCAAAATCAATTTAGGGGTATTATTTGACAGATTGTGTTAGGGTATTTAAACCCTTACTAACCGGTATCTAAACCTTTAAGCCCTTTAAAATTACTTGAAAACAAATTTATATATAATTATATATATAATGTACAGATGTTTCTAAAACAAAAAGGCAATAAAAAAATTAACACGACTGCCGGATTATTTTAAGTGAACCTTTATTATATACTAACAACTAAGCAATGAAATAATCAATAATGATCATAAAATTACCTGAAAATGGTAATTTGCGTTTAAAACTTATTAACGGGGATCTTTTCCTCAACAGGATTGAGAGGAATATCATATATTCCTCGACGTTATGGTTATTCATTTGATAGATCCCTTACTCCGCCAAATATTAAACGCCATCTCATTAAGGAAAAAAAAATTTGTATTAAGATCTCGAGCTCCATTAACCTCTATGAATATAATATTTGTCATTTTTAATTAAAATTTTGTATATTTTACAACTTTATAAGCTAAACTTACGAGGGGTACTAGCACCATTAATATTAATTTAATAGATTATTTACAAGCCATGAAAGTTAACGCCCATCTTATTAAGCTTTAATAAGGACACAGAGGATCATTAGCAATTATGTTTTTAAAAAATCTAGGAATTTGTCTTTTTGTGCAGCGATAAGTAGGATTAGTTGAATTTATTGTTAATTGCGAACTGTTATTTATTGGGGTTTTAATAAAAAAGCTGCATGTCTGATAAAAAACAGAGTTTATTTTTGTATTTTGTGGGTTCTTTTACGAAAATGTCGCGGTTAAAAGCATGATGGAAGGCTATAAGTGTAATTATTACTCAACTCCCTACTCTTTTTCTCCGTTTCTGAGATTTGAGCTAAAAGCAAACTAATGCTGGGGGTAACTTTAAGAACCAGTATGAACTGTCGGGGTTATTACAAAAATATATAATATTTTTGTTTATCCTTGGTTTATAGCAAAATAAATCAAAAAAAAAAATTGTTAACAGTATATACCCTATTTTACAGCATCAGTATACTACGGTAAGTCTAAAAAAATCAAAATTCACGCTTACTCTCCTGTTACTCTTTAAAAAGCCTATTAATTACGCCCTGCAAATGAATTAGGAATTGAGTGTCTTATTGTACTTCAAGAACAATGGAACTGAAGTGCTTCTTAAAATCTAATATCTCCTTCTCCTTTTAAGCATATACCGTAAGCAAGACCTTTAAGCAAACTAAGTAAAGGCATCCCAGAAATTGGTAAGAAGTTTTAATTTTTTTTGACTGGTTTTCTCAGGTCAGTATTAATACTTTAAACCGCTTAATCCGCTTCTCCTTTTTTCAAGAGTTAAAAGACAAGAAGGTCCTCTAGTATATCCTCCCGAAGGAGTATCATGGCTGTACCAAAGGGCTGGGGAAGAGCGGAGGTTTATCTGGCGCGAACTCTGTCGTTCTATTAGAATGTATGAGGGCGGGATTATAGACTGAAAAAGAGAGACGCGTTGATGGTAGTTAAATCCACAACCTTGAGTCTGCACTAAGCCAAGAGGACAATACTCGACCCGGTATGACGGTTTTATATATTTAACCTGTTACCTTCGATCCATACGGGGTGGGAACCGCCAAAAACTACCCTCAGGGCAGTAACCCTTCAGAACTAGACCCGGAGTCCTCTGGAGACCAACCAGTCAATCAAGCGCCCCCTCGACCAATAGCTCCCGCCAGAACAAAAAGCTATATTTATACAAAAATAAACAATATTAGATAGTGAAGAGCATAAAGTAATTTAGATTTAGTGACTCTTTAATCATTGGAATAATTAAAGAATTCTACGCTAAGAATACTATTTTTTGCAACAAGTAGCATTTAACCTTTCTAGAGAATAATCGATACCTATTTATATTGTCGTGATTAATATATCATTTAATATAATTAAAAATCTAGTTTAACTATAACTTATACTTAATTTTATTATTAGTATAAACATTTATTTAAACAAAATGCATTAGAATTTAATTGAATTTAAAATTTTATAAAGTTAACGAATTCTAAACCGGGAAGGTCCCATTGGACGCCTTACTCTAAAATTCTTACGTTAGTACTAACATTTATAGTTTAGTGAAATTTAAAGGACTGTATAGGAGAGTAGCAACACTTTTAACATTACTATGAAGCAACTAGTAAATAGTGCCTAATGTCCAACTTCACAGCTCGCTTAAACGAATCTTTTGGGAAGTATGCCCTTACTTTCTTTGCATCTTTGTTGGCTTTGACCGTTACTTTTTGCGGTGTTACCACGTTAATTTCCTTTACTGGTGCCGTACTTACTTTTATCTGCCCATTCTTTGAGCCCATTAAATACTGGAAGTAGTACATATACACTATAAATTAATAGATATATCTCCTATTAGGTCGCTGCATTGGTGTTGGAATATATCTTGTGTGTCTAGGCTTAACAGCCTTAATACTAGAGGCTCCCTTTTTACGTACTTTAGCACCTAAAGTAACTTAATAGCAATAAAACTTTATATCTACTCCACAGATAAAGTAATATTACTCAAAACGATACGAGAAACTACGGATAAAATGCCCGCCTTACTCAGAGGTGTTCAAAGTTTTTGCCAAGTACTAGTACTCTCTCTCATTAATTTTCCTAGCTTTAGGTTATGTCATAACCTCTCTTTTCGTATGGATCTGCATAGGAATTCCTTCCATCCTTTCATTCGTTTCACTAATTGGCAACACTTTTTAAACTACTCTATACTTTTTGTAAAACAATATCTCTTTTTTAGGTATTGCCTTCTTATATATGGTCCTTTCTTTAAAAAAAAAAAAGAAATCAGAAAAAAAAACTTATCCTACGGGTCAACATTGATTGTTTTACTTTAAGAAGTCAAAGTATAATTCTTTCAGAAGTAATCTAAGCTACCTGCAAACAAACAACTTTTACCAGAAATTCAGTCATAAATTTCCTAATAAAGTTTATAGTAGAAAAAAAAAATTATATACTTTACTTTATTAATTTAGTTATAAATAATAAAGTAATAAAGCCCCTAAAAAATACTTTGCTAACATAGACGTCTATATCTTTTCTTCTGTTTAAAAAAAGCTTATACCAATTTTTCCACACCATTCAATCAAAAAAGCTAACAGAAAAGCACAGGTGACCTAAGGCTGAGAGAGGTCCCACCAGCCAGTAGGAAGCTTACTGGCCACCAACTAACTTTAACTTTACTTTATTTTTAAGTTTATAAATAATTACAATATTTTCAGTTAAAAAGTAAAACGGACGGGAACGGAAATCAGCGAGCTACTTTCGCTGAAGAAAAAAAGTATTACAACGTTGCTTAATGCCGCATTATTAACTGCAAATAAATCCAGTATGCAAGCAAACTAAAACTATCAGATTCATATTTACATACAAATAATTTATAAGAATTACAACAGACAAATTTATTTAGTGAAAAGGCCTGTTCACCAGTCACATACGCAAATAATGCCCCGCAAAAGTATTTCTCAAGGCAACAAAAGCGAACGAGTGGACTTCTATCAATCGACAATATAAAAGTCAAGCAAGAAAGAGGGGAACAGAAGAAAGTTGTTATAATAAAATATATAGGATAATAAAATAAGTCTACGTTTTATATTGAACAAGTTTTCGACGGCCAAAGTGAGGTAGCCCCATTAGAAAATAACGATAAAGTAGTTGAAATGAAACTACAACAATGAAGTGCATTTATTTAATACAGTAGAGTTAGAGTTATTCTAAAAGTTATATAGTGATAAGCATATAAAAAAATTATATTGAAACTTTAAAAAAGTGCACAAAGAAACAAGAGAAGTTCAATAAAACAGTTTTGGTAAGAAGGTTCTACATAGCAATCCACGAAACTTTAAAAAAATGGGCAAGCTATTTATTCATTTACTCAAGGGGGTGAGCCAGACCGAGACCGAGACCGAGATGACGAAGAGGATCGAGATCGAGATCGAGACCGGGAGGGAGACGGAGAGCGCGAGCCGTGCTTAACGCGTTTCGGAGATCGAGGCCGAGAATGAGACCGAGACCGAGATCGGGTAGGAGAGCGACTTTTGGGAGCAGAAGACACCGAGCGCGAGCGAGAACGAGAACGAGAACGAGAACGAGTTGGTGATCGGGAGCGAGAAGGACTCTTCTTGTTAAAAATAAAAAATATTCATATATAAACAAAGGAAATTGCTTGTATACTTTAGAGGTCTGGCGGTCTACTCTACCTTCGGATCTCTCTCGGCTACTACTTCTTTTTGGAGAAACTGATTTTGTAGGAGAACGCGAGCCTTTATCCTGAAAATAAATAAAGGTATGATGCCACTTATAAAGTATGCAAGGGGGGTAACTAACTTAAAGTCAAAATAAATAATCAATTTTAATATTATTCCTTTTTAGTTGATTTACAAATAAACGAAAGAGAAAAAAATTGTATAGATCAAAATAAAACTTTTTTTTTAAACATAAATTATTATAACTTCCGCTTAACATTAAATACTTCCAATTTAATAAATAAAGTAAAAAATATTACAAAAAAGATAATGTAAACAACAGCGTAAAACCTTCACAGGAGTTCCTGAAGGAGAGCGTGAAGCCGATTTCTTGGACATCGGTGAGTGCGTGCGAGAGCGAGAACGTGTTTGAGATCTTTTGCTATTTTTTGAAGGGGTTCTTATGAAAAGTAAATATATAATAAAAAATAAGTCTATAAAAGAGTTAATCAAAAATTCTAACGCGGAACGACTCCGAGATCTTGAACGTGAGCCCGAGCGGGAAGGAGTCTTTGAACGCGAACGGGACCTGGAGCGTGAGTGCGACTTCGTGCGGGAGAGTGAGCGTGTAGGAGAACGGGATCGAGATCGAGTTCGGGAAAGCGAGCGAGAACGAGATCTTCCGGAACGCGAACGGGAACGAACTTCATACAACCGAATCCTCCGACCGTTCAGCTTTTCTCCATCAAACTTGCGTATTGCATATCGCATATCTTCATACCGTTTGAATTCAATTATCCCACAACGATCTCCAAGAGTATAAAAGATTCAAAAATATAAAAAGGCAAAAATACTAAGTAGAAACCACGATGGCGGTGAGCATCAGCAAAACAAACTTCTCCAGCTTTTCTAAAATAGTCTTTTAAATCTTGCCAGCTGACGCCAGTAGATAAATTTTCAATTTCTATTCGGTTACGGGAATGAGTTGGAGGAGAATAGTTGCGTCGGCCTGGTGTATAATAATAATTAAAAAGTGACCCACCAAGCCCCATCAAGGATGCATATATAACAGATAATGCTATATTAACTGTATCTGCTTCCACTTTTTCTGCCTCCGTGAGATTGTTCTACAATTATTCTATCACCCCACATTTTCCTGCCATTCATTTCCTATATAACAGAAAAATTAAAAAATGAAATGAAGAGCGCAAGACTACCAAAAAATACATCTATAGCATCATCAGCGTCTCTACGGCTGTCAAACTCTACAAATCCAAACCCATTTTTTAAATGGATTTCCCTTATGCGACCTTAAAAGAATAGCGTAATATTTAATTGGGGCGCCCAGAAGGTGGTAATATGCTGTATGCGACCAAATTTATCAAAAGCCTCCTCTAAATCTCTTTCTCGAACACTTGAAGACAATCGTCCAACATAAACTCTAGACATCTAGTAAAAGTAAAGACTTAACATCTGGATGAGCCGTATGTCACAATTAAAAGCCAAATAAAATCTAAAAAAAGAATTAAGAAAAACTTAAAAGCTAATTTAAAATGTTAAAATCCGTATAAAAAAAGAGTTTTTCTCTCAAAAAGGGAGTAACAATGATACAAAAAAAACCTGGCCCTGATAATATTAAAGGCGAACCCGAGACCTAGAAAAACAACGCGCGGAACAGTAAAAAATATATATAATCACGTGGTGAGCTTGAGGGTTTTTACGGGTCTTGTGCTCTATCCCTCCCCCCTAGCGGTAGTCCGGCGCTCTTCCCTGTTAAATTTCAACTTACACTCTTTCAAGAGATAATCCTTGGTGACGCCTGTTTCCTGGCCTTTTTGTATAGGGGGACTTCGGCATAAACACCGAGTTTCTATAAAACTAAGCGTAGCACACTAATTAAAATAATAAAAAACTATAAAACGATTTTTTGGTTGAGACTACTATGAATTGAAGCTCCAGCTTCTCAGTGTTTTGGGCCTTTATCTATACGTGCCTGTGCTCTTTGTTGTTTAAGAATATTTATAACTTATTGTTGAATAATAATTTTTTGGAAGAGCATGCCCTTTTACAGACGTTAATGAGTAATATATAGCAAAATTTTCTGTTGTTTTATTTATCTCCGTTAATACTGCTTATGTTGTAATATGGTGTTATGAAGTAGTTCTTCAACAAACAGAGTTGGTTGCACCAAAATAAGTTAGCTATTGATATTGTATAATTTTGTATTAAGAATTTTTTTCCAAGGTGGTAAATGTTATGAGAGTCAAGCTCAAAAGTGAAGTTAAAGGACAAAGCTTTCGCGGAATTGTTAGAATTTAAGTTCAAATAATTGTTAGTTCTTGACAACAGGAAAAGGTTTATGTAATCACTTAAGTTCGACTTAATTTAAAGGCATTTGCGACTTGGATCTAGACGTGCGGAGGATGAGCCTATGATTAGGCCCGAGAAATTTAAAATAACTTATGAGTATGAATAACACTCTTCAATGCCTCAGTTATGAGTATGCATTATAGGTAATATGAAAAGTGTTAGTAACCTAGTCTATTGAATTAGATGGAAATAAACTTTTTAAAAGTGCTTTGTCTACGCGATGTACAAAAGTTTAGGCTTATTATACTTATGGAAATCACTGAATGACGACCAGCGAAAAGTTCGAACATTTTAGTTAGTAGACAAACATTTTAACGTGAAAGCAAATGGTAGGAAAGAAAAAAATTTTCTCAACAGAGTAAGAAGAAACGATCTTATTTTAGCACTTCGCTGTATCTCGAGACTCAATTACAAAAAATTTGTTCAATTTTCACAAGCACATAATCTTATAGCAAAAGTGTGACAAGTAAGGGACCCTCCACTTTATACTTTAGCAACTTTTGTAGGGTATGAAGAGTAGATAGCCGGGGTGGAGTACTGTGAATGTATTGAATATTAAGGTTGTGCGGAGCACGTAAATAGAAAGTAAATTTTTTTTATTATAAAATGTTCAATAAAGTGCGTTTAATTCACCAATCAATTTTTTTTATTCCAAAAATTAGGCAATAATAAATTTAACAGTTTTTACAATTGGGACATTTTGGAAATGTTTTTTTTAAGTTAAATATATTTGTAACTACAGTATAAACACTCAAACAATGATATTTTTATAGACGACAACAAAATATATTTAATTATTCTACAGCGAATAAATTCTTTATACTGTGCAATTTATATACGCCTAATTCTTGTTAATTAATAACTTTATTGAGAGTTACTAAGAGCTAATGTTTTTGAATTTCTTTACGGTGTCTGAATTCTGAAGTATTTTTAAATGGTTTTTGGTCACCAGTTCCTCGAGCATTTCAATTTTTTTATTTTGTGCGCTTACTCTGCCACAAATATTAAAAATAAACAATTAGACAAAAATTGCGACAATATATACTTCAATAGATAGGCTAAAATATATAGTAACGAGTTACAGAATATCAGCTAAATAAGTAAATTCTTAAGAATTTTATATACTTAAATAGTTTTAGTTTTTAAGGAGGAAGAAAAAAAAATTGTTATGACTTCGCTAACAAAGTGGAGACCCAAACTATAAAATTTAATGCTTCACGACAAACCAGCTTGATTTTATAGGAGATCCGGAAAAAAAAGATTTGCTCCGAAAATCAAAAACCAAACAGCTCAAAAAAAAGTTGCTAAAGTGCAAGACTTAAATTCAGTCCCATTCACCAAAAAAATTAATTGCGATGAATAGGTTAAAAAAAAGGCAGAAGCAGAGCGACTTAAAAAAATAATACTACGCTGTCCAAATAAATTAATCACATTATAATTAGAATTAACCGCAGAAAACTCTCAATACTACTAATACAATTATAAAAGGAGGCAATAAAAACCTCGAGGAGAGCATGCGCACAGTTTCTACAAGAGTATCATAGCGTTTCTTCTCCTCTTCTTTAAGGTGTATAACTTGGCTATATAATTGCTGGATGCTAGAGTTCGATTGCTCAAGTCTTGCCAAGTCTGGAGAGATCTCGTTCTCCGGAAATTTATCTGGAGTTTCTGCTTGCCTTATATGAAACTTGATTAAACTAAAATTTTTTAAACGTCTATAAACTAACAAGATTATAATAGATCAGGTTTCAAATATAATTCCCAAACAAGTATAGCCACTATAAAAAATTATTTAAAAAAAGAAAATAAAATAATAATTAACTTTATTAAAAATATATAAAAATTATAAATAAAAATCGCTAAAGTTCAAGTTTTATAAGTAAATTTATGTTATTGATTGTTATAAACAAGACAAAAACCCACAAGTTATATAAACTCCATTTACGTGTTAACTTTACAAAGTACAAGCTTCATTAAAGGCAGCTTGGTTTCTTGCAAGTTTATTAAAGTTTAAACTATACCGCAAAAATATTAAAACGAATTGAATGGCAACAAAAAAATAAAGAAAGTAATTATTTGTTAACATAATAAACCTCTTAGATTATAGTGAATACTAAAATTAAAAAATAAATTAAAGATATAAACATGTCAAATATTAAAAATTCGATATAAATAATAAATCTACTTCAAAATATCAAATGGAATAGAAGCGTCAGCGAAGTTACTGCCGTTTACCAGGACATTAGAAGGGGGATCGCCTTAATATAATATAAATAACTAAACACAACGGTGGTAACCCACAAGGAAAGTCAGGCATCCTTATTAACTATTTTCAATAAAAAGTACTTGTTTGCGTAAACTCGGCTGGGTCCACAGGAGTGACTAAAAACCGAGAATTTCTAAAAATTTACTAGATTAGTGTTTATATTACCACATTTTCTCATTTATAAAAGTATACTAAACTTTTAATAAATTAATAATACAATTTGAATTGAAAATAAAATATTTTTTAACAAAAACCTTTTAGGAATTCGTGCTTCAGTCATACTCGTAAAATACTCTACTCTTAATTATACTATAAAATATTAGCGGATGCAGTAATACTTTCACTGTCAGTAATTTATAAATTTTATTTTTTAAACCGTCCTAAGTGAGAGGAAGCAGAGGAATAAATAATTATTTCTTAAAATGTTTGGACCTAATACAAGCTAAACTAAGAAGAAAAAACAAACTAAATTTTCCAATTAGAGGGTAATAAAAAAGTGTTCTTAACCAAATTCCATGTATGGTTTTTTTCAATATTTAATAGTTACTGATTAGTTAAACCGTGGTGCAAAAACCCTTTAATACTGCTTTCAAAAAATTGTTTTTAGCAACCTCTCTGAAAGACATAGTTTTTTAACCCATTCTAGAACTGTACAATAATTTTAGTTTAACCGAATAGTGACAAGCAATTATGTATCATTAATTATTTAGTTAAATTAACTAAATAATTATCTCTACTTAAACCAAAAAAAGGGATACCAAATATTTTTCTGCCGTGTACTATGGGAGTTTGCAAATTTTAACTAGCTCAACTGAAAACATATCTAGTCCCAAACAATTTCTATATAAAACTTTGTTTCCTCTTTCTCAAATCTCCCCATCGAAGTGGAATTTAAACTTATTTATAGAGAATGGCGGTGTAAGGTTCGCCAAGAATAAATAGGATATTAAGGTTTAGTATTGTATATATTTGGATTTATACTTACCGTAAGAATTTAATGATTTACCGTGTTGGAGCAGCACAAAGTCAAAAGATAGTAATGATGGCCTTACACGCAGTTTGGTGAAGACTAACTCAAAAAAGAACTGCTTAATTTTATAGATAGGCCCGATCTCGTCCGGGCACTTTACGATGCTTCAATGCTACGAGAAAGATGCAAATATAAATTTGTTAGAGGTGGCTAGGAATGGAGATATATATACTAATAGAAAGATAAAGGATTCACTCAATGAATTTCATTGAACTGAGAGATTGCTGTCCAGGTCTACCTAGCTATCGTTAATGCTAGTAAAGAACCACTAGATTATTACATAACACGGATAATTCTCATGAGTAGGAGTCTAGATGTAAAATATGGTAAAAAAAGAGAAAAACAAGATTACTTCTAGCTGAGTTGATAACTAGTTTCGACCTGTTCTAAGTCGGTTGTTTCACGTAAAAAGTTCTACTTTAGTAGACAAAAATAACGATTTAAAAGCCTATGAATGCTAGCTTATTAAAATGCCCTCCTGTAATGGTATCACCAATTTTATTAATCAGTTTCTGATTATTCTATTTCACCCACGTCTTCCTCCAAGCGCTCTTTCTAATTTTAGTAAGGTCTAATCTAACTTCAACAAATTATCGAACTTTGACTTCATCTCATCTAAGTTATATATTTTTGGTCAATCACTCTTCGCTTCTCCTGAAATTTAATTAAAAAAAATTACTCCTAAGCTCGCGTTATAAAGTAAATGTATTACACTAGCATATCCCTTACACCTATTTTAAAAGAACTATTCTTTTTTTGTATTATACAGTCATTTAGATGGTGCTTAAAATACGTCTAGTTGGCTGGATGATAGCTTGTTATTAGACAATTCCACTTGGATGTAAATCTCTAAAAAAATTTTTATCCTGGGCTATCGATGAAGGACACTAAAACCATTATATCAGTAGATTTAATTATATTTTAATGTGGGCACCTGTTCACTTAAGTTTAATGTAATAGATAAAGCTACCAAAACAAAAACAAATGTTATAAAATTTAGTAAAATCCAATATATTTCTAATTTTATTAGAAAATACCCTTAAAATTTCAGTATATAAGCAATGCAAACTAACAATAAAGATAATTCCAATCTTGCCGTTTTGGATGTGGCCTTCGCACCCCGACTTTTAGAATTTGCAAAAAGTATTTAATATACTTACATAATGCTTCGCTTCACTTAATATAAATATTTATATATTTGAAGACCTAAACTACCCAAATTTATAACTACTGACAACTATATATATGTGTCTTAATTTAATTATTAACTTTTTTTCTTTTACTTTTCTATATGAATTATATTAATCTTTGCATTAATTTTTAAGTTTCTCCTCTAAAGGCATCCTGCGAGAGCTTATTACTAACTTGTTAGTTATAATTGAAGAACTCAAAAAAAATTTAGAATCTATAAAGGCTGAACTTTGTGAAATTACTAAAGCCACTCAGATTGTCTATCCACGTGATTTTTATAGCATGTGCTTCCTACCACGTGACTGAGTCACGCGTCACCGTACGTTTTTAAGTTTGTCCCACATTTTGTATTTTCTTCCCAGAAGGAGTAAATACCTTCCTCAAGGGGACAATTAAGTGTTCACCCTCCTCTTATCTTCCGTTATCTCGCTACTTAGAAAATGCCACTTGCTTTTTCAACTGTTCCTGATGCCCTCCCTCAGACCAAAATTTCTCCTAACAGAGTACCAACGAGCAACTGGAGCTAGTTAATGCAGAAGAACTTTAAGCGATTGCGGAACCTTAGAGACAGCTAACCCCTATGGCATTACTGAACTGGTGAAAAAAGGCCCTCAGCAGTGATGAAAGTTCTGTGCTTCCTAGTAAATTTAGCGATGGCCATTGGCGCCTTTACAACAAGAGGTAAACAGCATCTGTTGTGATGCTGCCTAAGATCACCGAAACTGGAATCTGCTACCAGTAAATACAGACCCTTCAGCCCCTGTCAGCGGTTGACTAAGTGGGCGAAGTCGCTCTACTATATCGCCTTAGGGAGGTAGTTGACGCTCTTGAAGACTTGCCAGGTTTCTAGTTTGGATTCGGCAAGGGCACTCAACGATCCAGCAGTCCCTTTACCTAACAGAATGGAAAACTCACGTTATTAACTTTGAATGATAAAAAGCACTGTCTCCCACGACGTTAAAATTGTCTTGACTAAGTTTGCATGAAGGCCTGCCACACAGCCTGCTCTCGTTAAGGGCCCCTCGTGGGTTTTACGTCTTAAGTTTTCAGCGTGTGCTTGTAAGATACACTATCACTGTTGCGATCACTTATAGTAGGGGCTCCTAGTGATTTTTCTCTCACCCCTACTGTTCGCAAACTATAAGCGAGAGGAGCCCTTGCCAACCAATTCTTGCAGGCGTGTCGCTTTACACGCCGACGATGCAAATATTTACTCGTCGAAGACACCCGATCTGCTGTGCTAGCATCTGCATCGCTGCCTCAATGCATTTGCCTACTGGTGGCGTAACTGGAAAGTTGCCATGAATGCGACAAAGAGCAAAGCCCTCCTAATAACGAAGAGCAAGTCCCCTCGTTGGTGCCTTTAACCTTTGCTGCTATGAAGATCTCGTGTTGCTCTCCAGTGACTTACCTGTGAGGTCATCATTGAAAAATTTCGTGGCGGCGAAGGTCAAGGTGGTGGTTAGTCCGAATTACCCTTTACCATACAGCGCACTTCTGCTGCATGGGCCAAAAGTTTGCTGCGCGGAATTGCAAACGCGTCGTGAGTTCTGCGAAATAGTGTTCGCCGGGACTCCAGCTAGACCCATTGCACGCCGTTTCTACTGCTAATGCATTAGGCCTTAATGACCGGCTAGCCAGAGCTTATTTACGAATCATAAGACGTCGACGCCCACTGACTCTCTATAAGCGCTAGTTCCTTGTCTCGCAGGTAAAATTTAGGTTTCTGACTCGGTCGAACACTAAGAGAAGTCATTTACGAATAAATAAAACCCCTATTTCTTAATTTTTTTCCTGGTAGGCCTGTCAAGTATGGCCGTTACACTTCAAAAACAGTTATAAGCATCTTCACTATTTTTAGCATTTCCTTTTGTTCTTTGGAAGCATAACTTTTACGGCTAAATAGAATAAATTTCATTTTTATTTGCACACGCAGCCTGGCTAGCACGTTTATTTCATAACTATATATCGTTTGACAATGCCGAACTTAACTATTATGCCACTCGCTGACTTAATTTTCCTTGAAGATTTTCTTCACAGTGGTTTATAAAGTGCTTGTTGACCCTACTCCTTCTTTCGAACTATATCCTCCTCCATTCCTCAAATCAACTTTTTAACTTTTTACGAGTTCAATATAAAAAAAATTTAACCTTTTATATATTGCTAAAATAAGTTTTTTTGAGTTTTTATCATTAATAAAGGTTTCTATTTTATTATCTTTTTATCCGAACTATAGAATATTTTGTTAAAAAAATTGTTAATAGTTTTTTTTTATTTATTATTAAAAAAAAATCTTATATTTTTAGTAAAAATAGTGGTTGTAAGTCATTAATAACCATTTTTTGTAAAAAAAAAATTCTAAAATTAATTATTTTTCTTTAGTACTGTTGCTTTTACTATTATTTTAGTAGATTATACTTATTTTTATATTTAATAATATGTAAAATTATGTTTAAGTTTTTTTTTAAAAAACATATAAATAATTTTAACTGTATTATTTGGAGTTGTATAGCTTTTACTATATTTATTGATATAATTTCTTTAATCTTAAAAAATCTTTAAATTTTTAATAAATTTATTATAATGAATTAAATTTTCCAAAGTTTAAAATGTCTTTTACTAACAATAATTTTAAAAATGTAAATAATTATTTTATTTGGTATTGCTTTTACCATTTTATAAACCATAATTTTATTGTAGACTTTTATTTTTGAAAGTTTTTTATTAATTTATTATATGATATATTTATTATAATTCATATTATTTTTTACGTAATTTTTTTTAACGGTTTTCCGATTGCTGTAACCCCTCTGTTTCCACTTAGAATCGCTCTCGCATTTTTTAAATGAACTTAAGAATTACTCTCCTAGTCCCTAGTTTTACATTAGTAAAATTTACGAGTTTATCCGCGCAACACCTCACAACAATTGGCTCTTTATGCATGATTTTATTTTTAAATGACTCCAACTTTGGATCTATAAACTACACAAATATTGTTTGAAATCGCAAATAGGCGTATACATGCCTTTATATTTTCTGTTCGTTCAAAATTAAATGTTCTTTTAATAAATTAGGCAAAGGCTACAAAAAATGCTCTTTACGGGAAAGTATGCGCTTAAATAGTGAAAATTTTAATACCGAGTTGTCTATGGTTATGGAAGTAACGGTTTTACAGCTTAGCTGTTCAGGGATAGTTATATACACTTACTGCGTAAAATAAAATTAAAAAATAAGTATCAAGTGAGAAAGTACGATACACAACCTATCAACTTTATTATGAAAAAAAAAAGCTAACTATATTATAACAGAAAGAATTATCTTCTTCCTGTAAAACCTATAAGTTAATAGACCCGACCTACCCGATCTCTCTCGTTGACCATTGGGCTTTTATTTTAGCTGATGCAGTACTTGATTTTACTAGATTTTACAAGACGTTATGATTTGTTAATTTAACAATAATTTAGGTTTTTTTTGGTTCTGAACGCATCTTTAAATTTTTAAAACAAGCAATAAAAAAGTTTCCTTTTTAGCCATTCAACAAAGTTTTCAAGAAAATGCGATTAATAACAGAATACTTATCTTGCAGTACACTTACCTTTTAACAAGTTTGATAATATGAAAAATAAGTGTGAGATAATCTTGCTGGATCGTATAGTGCTTCAGAACATTAACTCATTAAGGAAACAGCGGAATTACTATAAAATAATTATTCAAGTAGGGTTAATAATCGTAACTTGCCTACTTTATGTAGTCAACTTAGTCGTTGTAAAGGCAGGAAAAACTGAAAATATGGAAATTACCTTAAAGTAAGGTTCATCCAAATATTAATTTTAACAGTAGTCAACAACAATGGGTAATATAACTAGTAAATTTTCAGAACGCACCTTACAATCCGATGTACGATCACTACTTGTAGCAGCTATAGGGAAAACGAACCCTTAACAATATGTAGGAAAAGTGCAGCTAGACATGGAACTACTGTTAATCTTCGGTTTTTTTAACCTGGTACCCTCGACCCTCGTCGACTTCGAGTCCCTTAAACAAAGCACATTGAGCGCTGTTTAAGGAATGTAGTTGTAGCATCTAAGCGTATAATTAGTCGGTCGTCAGTGAACCTAAAGTCGGGATAGTCCTGGCACAAAATATGCCTGGTTATTGGTTTCATCTATATGATTTATCAGCTAGTTTGCAACCACAACTTGTATAGAAAATACCAACAATTTTCGTGTTACCTGCGAATACTACTGGGAGATAGTACCATTCAAAATTTTAAGGCTGAGGTCTCTGGACGTTTACGATCGCTACTGACCTAAAATTGCATGCTCCAAACTAAAAAATTATACAAGTTTATGTCAAAATTATTTATTTATATTCTCTAGCATAGTCTATTATATACTGATTTATTAATTCAGAATAATAGTTCTTATAATAAGTTGTGATATTAGTATTTAGTGATTTCATTAATTATATTTATATTAATATTAATAATATTATTATTAGGGTTACACTAAATAAAGAGGATTAATTATTTCAAATAAACCAAAATAAATGACTTATTGAGCGTGGAAATTTCCGCTTACAGTAACTTTATCAAGGAGAATTTAAGGCTACATATTTCAGGAAACCACATTATTTTCTAATCGTTTGAAAATTCGCTGCAGAAAACCAAGTTGTTCGTAAAGCTACTAGTTTAAGACTTAAAAACAACTTTCAAATCTTGTCAATGCAAAATAAAAAATATATAGAGGCCAAAATTTTTTATTTATACCTCATATCTGTTTAGTGAAATCCGAGGTAAAGTTATTTATATAATAGTTTAAAAGGCATAATTAATTCTCTTAAGTGTAAATTAAATCAATGGAGACACATTTTTCTGAAGATAGTAAGCACCCACAATTAAACTCTTTGAGAACTAGAGTAGTAGATAAAAAAAAGTAAATTGATTTGGTAAAAGCCAAAAAAGAACTTAGAACAAGTTTGGAACTAAGGCATAACTAAGTTAAGGGTGTGCACAGGCGAGACTAGAGCTTATATAGAAACTTGATTTGGAAATATAACTTAAAATTGAAAGCAAAAGAAGAAAAGAAAACTTTAAGAAATTAAACGAAAGGCGCTCTAATATAAAAAAAAGGTAACAGAATCAGTACTTGCTCCAAGTGGCAAGCCTTTAGTAGCTGTTTACGTGCTAAAAACAAATATAATTGTGGACACTTTAAATAATGCATCTGTCGCTATTAAAAATAGTCCTTCGGTGTCAGTTATATGGACACATTACTCAATTCTGCATTTCAAGTTTGAGATGTGCAAAATGTTGCGCAAGATGACCCAATAGAGGTACCTAGATCTTTGTGGATGAATCTTTTGTACCCTTTCTTCTTAATCGGTAGTTTTTAGCCTAAATAGGGGGAAGATCCTTAAATAAACAATTTTAAAGCGATATATTTTGCAAGGCCTCAAGTAGTGACTTGGCCTGCAACGCCTAAAATTGCGAACTGTGCGCTACTTAACCTAATTTAGACTGGTAATTTTTTATAGCTTTTATGACGTTATAGCTAAAATTTAAAATTAAGAGAGGAACGGTTAACCCTAGCCACTTAGGTTCCAGATAATACAATGAAAAGGTTCAATACGCTTTACGTCTTTTTAACTAATAACTAATTAAATTATGCTACAAGCGTTAAAATATACTAGTGAACGCCCACTTCAAGGGGCAGGAAATCATTTATTAAGGCATCGAGTTCTAACAAAGACAAACTACCGGTGCACCAAAAGGAGCTTCAATGTGACTATTACTGTTCATTGTATGTATCCTGTAGCCCCAGCTTAAGCAATATCTATCGCTCAATACTCTGACGACCTCGCTATGAATTGCAGTTCCAAGTCACAGTCCTTATCTACCCGAAGAATGCAAAGTAATTTAATTATTTTTCAAAAAATAAATTTAAACCCATAAACAAAGCGTTTTACTTATCTCTAGGAGAAGAAGAACTTCCAACACTCGTAAACTAAATTTATTTGGCCAAATTATCCCGTGGAAAATTCATACCCAAGTACCTGGGTGTTAAAACAGATAACAAACTTGATTGAATGCGAGTGATGCTAAGGCAAGTTTGTATTACCTTCTCCTTTACATGGTAATATACGGCAGGTACTGCCGTATGCGTTCATAGCATGGGCTTATTCCTTGGAGGATGACTTTTAATTGTACGCTAATTGAAGAATAGGTGCGTGCGAAAGATCATCACTACTTCTTGGTTGAGTAATGGTCAGCTACAAAGACCAGAATGGAACCTTTTGACACCTTTATAGTAATACACGACTATACGTATACAACCAACAATCCAATAAATTGGTTGTTTAACCCTTTAACGGACAAAACTCTGAAGCTAAAAATAGATTTGTTTTTTTTCTGCGAAAACACTTCCTACGTTAAACTGTACTTTACAGCCCAATAGTTGGTTTCAGAATTGGATTCTAATATTACAGTTAATATTTCAAAATAAAACAGTACAGCAAATGTTTACTTATCTATTTAACCAAAAATAAACTCGTCCTACATCCATAGTGGACACTTATTTTGTCCAATAAAAGATCGCGCAACACATGCTAAACTTAACACTGTTAACTATATTTACCACTTTTTTATATTTTGTTGATTGCTGCCTAATCCGTTAGGACATGATAGTCAAACTTACCAGAGATTTTTTCAAAGACCAAGCCCGCCGTTTAGTGTCAATTTTCATAGATCTACCCTTGCAAATTGAACCTATGTGACAAGTGGTAAACATAGTAACCGGTCACCCAAAAGGGGTTAAAACGTCAAAGTACTTAAGCGAGGTTTATGAAGAAGCTTAGTTGAAAAGGTCGAGCTGCCGTACAACCCTCAAGGGTGTCCTCGCAACTTTGTTTTACTTGTTACATGTAAAAATACTCAACTGTCAACGCTTTGGAAAGACAGATTAAGCAGTTAAAGGTTTTGTGATCTCTCATTTAGATTGCCATCTTAGTAAATAAATAAATAAATATAAAATCAATGACTTTTTACTTATAACTATCTATTTATCTAATACATATATTAAAGTTAATTTATAAATTTGAATAAAGTTTGCTCTGACAATGAGTGCTACTGCCACAACAGACCCCTTTATAAAATTATAAATTTACGGAAATGCATAAATTGCTTTCTAAAAAATATTAAATAGTTTAAAACTTTGTAAAAATCTTTTAATGTTAACTATTTTTTAATCATAAACTTTATAAAAAGAGCTAGTTAATTAATTTACTTGTTGCACTTGCTAATTCCCTCTTTTAGTTCTAAGTTTCAAATATAATCGCAGTTTATAAATGGATTTTAAATAGCTACGTTCTCGATTCGGCTTATCTGCTTGCCATCTAAAAGTTAGCTTTTAAAAGAACAAATAAATTTTAAAAAAATAAAAATAGTTTTTTCTTAAAAAGCTATAGCTTAAGTTCCCCACCACCAAGCCAAATCCATCTTGCTTGTTTTGGTTTAAGACTTTGCAAAGTCAGTTAAGGTGTTCTCCGAGTTATATAAAATTACCAACTTGACACCCAATTGCTATTAGCGTCACCCTGTGATTTTTTAGTAAATTTTTGTCTATAGATGATTAAGGTGACTAGCCATCCGTCTACAAAAGGGAAGAGCATTGCTTTCAAAAACTGTGTTTTTACCATGTCAAAAAGTGGACGTGCAGGCAACACAACAGCTCGAGTGCATTACTAATTACACCTAAAAATGTCTCTTGAGGATACCACGAAGTTACCTAGTCGTCAGCACTGCATTTTTTATGTACAAAGGAGCGCCTTGCCCGTGCTAAATTAAAGCGTGCTTGGGGATTTACGTTATCAAAAGTAGATTAATGACGCCTATGTATTAACACTACTCATAAAAAGAAGATTGCGTGCTAAAACATACCAATCTGAAAGTTTTACAAAAACTTGATTTAGTTTTGGGTGAAAAAAGTTGAGTTTTGTTAGTAGTTTACTTCTCTTTTCCACAATGTCTGAGACGGGGTTTATAAAGCGTATAACTCTTAATAGTGCGAGTGCTTATTTTTGTGGCATAAACGATGAAGAGGTAACTAAGAAGTTTTGTGAAGAAGTTATTAAAGCGAATATTACTAAAGTTAAGAATTTAGAAAAGAAGTGGTGCAAACCTTTATTTAACGTCAATAGTAGTAACGAGAAAGAAAATTTTAAAACCAGCGTTGATAGTTTGGGTAGCTCTTTCGTCAGTAGAAAGTTTACTATTAGTGAAATAGATAGTAACAAGGCAAGTAATGAAGATAGAAAGAGTATAGACTGTACGAATTCGCGCGGTTTTTTATTGGAAAGAAAGCAAATAACTGCGAATAATTTTAAGAGTTGTATTAGTCACAATTACAAACACGACCCTAAAGAACATCCCTTGAGTAATATTAATAAGGTGGTGGGCAAAGCAGCTGAGAGTTGTGCAAGGTTGTTATTTAAAGATTTAACTAATCAACTAAAAACTATCAATGTCGAACAACATTTTGACCTTGAAGGTTTTTTTATTTGAGTTACCTCTGGCTACTATTTATTATTTGTAACTAGAAAACTTTATTAACTGGATTCAGTGTGAAAGTTGCAAAAAGTGGAGAGTCGTTCCCCTGGCGCAGGTGTAAAATGTGTCCAATTTATTACTGCTGCTCTGTTTTTTACTGTATTTATTTTCTCAAGTTCTTTCAATTACAAGATTCTTCCTTTGTGTGCTCTGAAAATACTTGGGACCGTTTTAAATCTTGCCATATAGGAGAGCAAAAACATTTTTCTGACATAAAGGTATAAAAAATCAGTTACTATCTATTTTCTTGCAAGCTTATTGCGTTAACAGACCACCCTCCCAATTTCTTTGTATGAAAAAGGTCGTCTAGAAAATGTTATTAAGAATAATCAATTTTTGAAAGTTTTGGGATTCGGTTTACTATAAATTTATTGTTAATTACATTTTTTCCAAGTATTTATGCTTATTAACTTGCAACTTAAGACAAGGCTCTAAGTCTTATAAAATGTCCCAGTATTGAAAAGCATGTTAAAACCGTGCCCGTCAAAAAACGGATGTTTGACAAAAGTTTATTTGTTCGCAGGTTTATTTTATTTACCTCTGCTTTTTTCTAGTTACGGCAGCCTTTACTCGGGCCTGTTTATTTATTTGCCTACAGATCAGTTAGACCACAGACTCAGAGAAAATTTTATTCTGTTATTGATATGTATTCCGACAAGGTAAAAGTATGCCATCTATCCCTTACTATCGTTTAATATTATATATTTAAGGAGCTAAAAAGAGTTAACTTGAGGCCTATTATCGTAATTAGCCCAGCTGAGGGAACAAAGTTAGTTAAGGTAAACACTTTTCAATTTAACATCTTCAAAGCTGTAAATTCTATTGAAAAGGGGAAGAAGACTACGATAGAATGGGAGGGGGACTACATATTAGGCGCAACTGATCTGTATCTAGCGCTGATTAAAGACGAGCCCTCCTGCGACTGGATATATATTGTTGCTCAGTTAAGTTACTACTCCAGTATAATTGGAGCTTGAAATAACATGTGTTAGAAATGTTCAATGCTCGCACCCCTCCACAGAAGGACGCTATGAACTAGAATGGGAAGTGCCTATGGATCTGGTGGTAGGCGAAAATTATTACTTGGAAATAGCTTCGTGTGAGGTTATTGTGCCCGTTTTGATTATCGTCTGATGGCTCCTCTTTATCATTTATATAGAAAAGAACAGTGGGACGAAGTGAGTATCTCGTCATATTGAATCCGTATGGCTGTATTATTGAAGAGGATGTAGGCGTGTGGTACTCTTATCTCGTGGAGCAAAGCAAAAGCTCCGTCTGACTTTTCCTTCGTACCTGACAGGTGCAAGTGTGGAGCCGCCACCTCGGATATGAACTACAAAGGTTGTATTGAGTTAGCGGTGTCGGCGGACTTTATTTACTTGAGTTGTTTGTATGTAAGGCATGTGGGTCATATGCACGCTATGTAAGGCATGGCAGCACGGTCTCTGTTATGATCTTACGGCGGACACTAAGGTTATAGTAAGTTTTTTTGTTTCTGCCCCCCGTAGCCTCTACAAATTCAATAGATCACTGAAAACTTTCACTGTTGCTTTTGTCAAATGGGGTTAAACCAAGTCATCCTGGCGTCTCGTTTTTTAGAAATGCTAACTAAGACGACGACTTATCGGTCCGCTGCTCAGGGCCTCTGCAAACCATTAGTGCGCTTAATATCTTTTTAGACGCCTTTTAAAAAACTCCTTCTGCTCTACACCGGACCACGTTGGAAAGTTTTTGGCGACTCTAATACGTGATAGCGACAGGGTAAGCAGCTGGCTTTTTAATAACGCTTCCCTCAGAATTTATCCTTGAAAGTGCGTTGTTGATTTAGGTGCCGGGACAGGAGCTTTCACCCGGTATATCACACAGCACGTTTGCTGCATAGAAGACAATACGGAGCGTTTTAACGTAGGTAGTTGGCAGTGCAAAACGGCTATAATTAGGCTGCTCTTAAGCACAAGTACAGGAAAAAAGGCCCAAGAAAACAGGACATGGGTGCAAGCGGACATTCTTAGCAAGCATTTCTTGAATGAGATAGTGCAAAAGCCCAGTGAGAGATACGGTTTGTGCTAAATTTACAAAAAAAACTTTTCAATTGGTGCTAAGTTCCTCTTTTAGATGTTGTATGCTCCAATCCGGACTTTGAAGTTGCCCTGCAGTTTATCTATGTGGGACTGTTTTTACTTCAGTGTGGAAACGAAAACGCAAGTAATTTTTCTTTAGTGACGCTAGTATCAACCTTGATTAATGTAGAATCTGATTCCCACGTGTAGGGCTCATATTCCTTCTCCCATCCGACTACTTTGAGGGTACGGAAGACCCGTATTAAACCCATATTGTCACTCACCGCTCATCTGGCTTTTACAGGCAGTTCAGCAAGAATAAGAGCATACAAGCTCCTCGATATGCACATTGAAAAAGAATACAGAATAGGCAGACTTGGATATTTTCAAGTTTATTACTCTCATCCTCATTTTTTGCCTAAACAGATTTTTTGACCAATTTTTTAGCATAACAGAGACTTGCACAAAGCAACTTCCGACTCTATCTTTGTTTTAAAGCCAGGGCGTACAGGAAAATTCGCTTACCACGTGGTAAACGCCAGACTGGCCGGCATGTTATGACAGTCTAGTACCGGGCAGTCATTTTAATAAACAGATTGCGTTCCGCCATAAATAGTAAGTCAGGCTTGCTAAAGGAAAGATGTAGTCTTCAGCAGCGATGCGGAGTTAGGCGCTTGCACCTCGGAGACATCTCGGCTGTAGAGAAAAACAGCAGCGCACACAAGCCCTAATCGATTAGTCATGCGTGACAGAAAGCAGTAGCTGCGCCCGAGGAGATACCAGCGCCACCGAAAAAGAAGGGCGAAAGGGCAGTTTTGAATATAATGTGCGAAAGCAGAGAGGACGATAATATAGAGACAGATGTTGCAAATCCTATCCCATGAACAAATCACGTGAAGGACAGTAGAGGAATAGAGACAAACAACCCTTCGAAATATTATCGGTATATTTAACGACGACAGAAACGATAAGCCCTCCTAGGCTGTTTGCCACCAGCGTCGCCCAAACTACCAGAGAGTATCCTTGAATAGAAGCAGTAGCACACAACAGTTGACTTGAAGAATTAACGAAAAAAAACCTTGAAGTAACCCTTTTCCTAGCACTCTTGAGAGATCGAATATCAGAATATTCACCACTGCAAAAATGAGAGACCAAAATCCTTAAATTAGTCACAGTTTAAAGTGTGCATCACATGGTAAACGAGGTAAAAAGGGGACCTAACTGGATGTTTCTTATCCAAATATCGCTATTTTGGGCTTTAAGGATTTTCTCATAGTATACAGTGGCGAAACCTAAAAATGTCTATTAGCGAATTCACAATAATAAATTTTTAAAGTGGAAACCAGAAAAAATGCAAGCAAGCAGCACCAAGCATATGCCATAAGCTTTGTTCTGAGCAAGATCCGGAACTGTTGCGGTCTTCTAGCTAGATTTAAGACCAAGAAATAGAGTATATTCCGTGGTGTGATACTTTTTCCAAGGGTGCACAGGTGTGCACCAAGCATACACCCGAAGCCAATAGAAACAGCGAGCTCCACTGCTTATAGCTTAGTTTTCTGCCTATTTATAGAGTAATATTATAGTTCATATATAACGCCGTACTAAACTAATCGTTACCTAATAATACGTATAGAAAAAGGGCCGTTGTAAAAATTTTAAGTTGGTAAGTTACTTGCATGGTAGGAACGTCCTGGTTTAAGAAATATAGCTTAACCGGCATAAAATTAATTTACGAAGTTTGACATAACTTAGTGAGTTTATTAAACTTTTAAGAAGGTATAACCGAATTTTTTTTTTTTAAATATTACTAGTAAAAGAGGAGCCAAGTAATGAATGCAATTTTGAATGGCGTACAACGCTGCAGGGACTATAAGTTTAGTAACCTCTCTCCAGGGTATGAAAGGATTTATAAAATTTTGCTAAAATAAATTAGAGTATACTTGTTATTATAGTACATAAAAGACTATAAATAAAAATTTGGTGGCTATTATAACTTTTTAAAGTTATTTATTTGTTTTATTTACCGATTTATAATACTTCTGATTGTACAATAAAAAACCCATGGAGATTAGGATCTTGATTATTTCTTGAAAGAGAATAGCCGTACTGAATAAAAATTTAGTTCCTCTGGTTATCTGAAAAGTAGATAACCACGGTAAAAGTTTTATTAGATGCGTAGTTATAAATATATTACTCCAAAACCGTTCGGACTTACAGAAATATAGCGAAGTAAGATTGCTGTGCAAGTGTTCTGGACTACCAAAGCAAATAAAATGAAAAATTTCATATCTATATATACATAGAGTTAAGTTTTCTAGGCAAAACTTTGAAGCGACAAAATGCATATTTAGCAATTACTACCTACCTTCGCATTTCCATTTTCATATAAAGCGTTACAAGTCCGATAAGGTGTTAAGTCAAAATGCATAAATAGGGTGAGGGGAACACCGGAAGAGAGCAAAATTCAAGTCCGGAACACAGGGGCAATTTAGGTCTAACCTTTAAAATATACTATGCTGTCTAAACTTAAATGGTTAATTAAAGCCAATGAGAATTTTTAGCAGAAAAAATTATCGAACTGAAAATCAGGACTGCTTGAAAAGGCGACAGGGGTAAGAAATATTATTTTTAGGCTTCGTAAAGTATTATACTTCAAAAAAAACCTGAAAACAGAGGTAAGCTAAAGCATATGGACATAGAATACGGTGAGGGCAGGAGGAGAGAGGGGAGAGGAGGGTTTAACTATTACCGAGCCAGTCATAATACTTTGGGGATGTATGGACGCCACTATCCCTCTAGTCAAAAGTGGGCTATAGGCGCTCGACTTATTGTTCATCGCAAAAGTTACAAAAATCCTATTGTGGGTTAAGCCTTATTAATTAATAACTATATTAAATTTAAAGTGTTATTCGTTTCTTTAATCGCCCTATAATAGTTGACTCCGATAAAATTTATAATTTTTCGTTTTTATGAAATATAGTTCACTTATAAATTAAAGTTTGATAATTTCTACTATCGCTAGGTGAATGTTAAAGCAATATCTTTTTTATTGGAGGGAGCTAAGAGAAGTTAAGTAAAGTTATAGATTACTAGCATGTGGTAGCGGGCAGTCGCAATTATTCGTAAAAAAAACTTCATGCAAACACGCTTATCAAGCCTTTATAATTATCGAAATAAAAATACAAAGATCAAAACTTTAGTAGACAAATAGGAAAAAATAAAAAATAATTAAACGGTAGACAATTTCAAAAAATCAAAAAAGGAAAAAAGAATCAAGGCCATTCCAGTTTCATGTTTCGCAGTGATGCTCCACTTGTCCAAGTATCCAACCCCCTTGGATGTTATGCAGGCCTAATCATAATCGATCCTCCCCCATGCTTACCGTGTGCACCGCCCAGTCTTAACACCACTTTATACCATTCGAATTATTTTGATTGATCTTGGTCTCGGGTTGAGAAAAATTACTTTTTCTTAGACGCACTTAAAACTTAGTAGCTTGTGAAGGTCTGTAAAAGCTGGTTTAATTAACTCTTTTTTCGCATAGAAGCCAGAAGAATGCAATGCTCTCTATACGGTCGATCTTGAAACTGGTCTATCTAATGTTGTTTTCATGATTTTTGAAGCTTTCTGTGCAGATTCATTTGCACCAATGTCACTTGTCGTACAAATCGAGCTACATCCCGGTTTTTCAAGATCTTTGGCCGCCCAAATTCATTGCAAGGACGATTTGGATCATATTGAGTTTTTATGCGATATAAAGTGGTTTTACTGACACCTTCTTTAAGAGTGATCTCAGTATAAGACTTGCCTTTCTAAAAGGCATTTTACATAATTTTTTTAACGATTTAAAGTTTACGAATTAATAAATTATGTCCCCTAAATAAGCTATCTTTTATAGTCACTCTAACGCTTTAAAGAAAACTTCATTGCTGGAGTGATCCCGAAATATCGTATAAAGATTAAAATAATTTTGCAAGAAGGGGTCACGTGCGAAATCGTTTTCAGTCGATACTTAAACATTAAAAAGCGAGAAAGACTTAAAGAAGAAAGCAATTCCTCTAATACTAACTACATTAAATAGATCTTAATCTAACCTTATAAATATATAAGGGATCAATATAACCAATTATTAGTTGAAGCGTAATAAAATTTTTACGAAAAATTTAAAACATAGAAACAATTTTTTTTTTTACCATAGTGTCTAAGTAAATAAAAAGCTATTTCTAGATCTAATAATTTTGTGGGTCTTTTGGTTGAAATTTCTATATTTCCATGCGTTTAAAAGTATAAGCTTTGCTAGCATTCTCTATCCAGAGGGCGATCGTGAGCTTTTGTTTATGTATACGGTTTTAAATCAGTATTTTACAACCTAATGGTTATAAAGTTGAAGACACGACATTGTGCCGTAAACATCTTTAAAAAGTTTTTAATAAACCCATTCAAGTTACTAGTTAATAATAAAGTTAACATCCTGTATTGCACGCTCCAAAATATTATAGTAATTGACTCTTTTATGACACCTCGGGTCTCCTTAAATAGTCAAGGTGTGCACATCCTCTAACGTACTGTTAAGCATCCATGGGTGTGGAGGTCAGAGCTATACTCCATTATTTATTGCTATCCTGGAAGTTAAATAACGAATTCATATCCTTATAAATCCAATTTTTTTTAGTGCGATGGTTTGTGTGTGAATAATTTTTGTGCTTTTAAAAGTTTAGTTTTTACGTTCTGACCTAATTCATTTTAAATTTCCAAGAAATCACAATAATTTTAACCCCAGTGCCTACTAAGACATGGTCATAAAAGGTTTTATCTTGTCACAAAGCATCTACGTAGAGCAGTTCACCGTCTCCACTTTTGAAGAAATGTGCTAGTCTTGCTTACCTTTCGATTTTTTCATTTTAGAAGTCATGCGAAGTTCGCATCGTTAAGATACAATAGCTGGTGTTTTCCATTTAATATTTTTCTATAGGCAGTTCTTCAAAAGATTTAAAAACCACAAATGAATTGTTACATTTATATTTGTTAACTTTAGTAATTCCTCTTCTAAGTCAATAGTTGATCTTTTTTTCTGTTAAAACCTTCCCTCTACAGATGAAGTTGTAAAATAAACATTTATCTAGGTTTCAAAATGAAAATTAGGTTGTATATGAAGTTGAGTATTTATCGCTACAAAATTGCCTAAATTTATAAAACAGTCTTATATACTCTCACATTTCTATTAATCGTTTTAAAGGTAAATTTTTCGTTTTTCTTATTATCAATTAGATTGCTAAGATGGAAGTGATCCACTGGACTCATTTCAGAGTTGTTATGTTTTTGTTTGAAATAATATAACTCATAAAAGTTTAACATCGTTTTTTTAATGGTCCAATTTGAAGTAAGCTTTGTCGAAGTTTCCATATCTTTAACAATATTGACATTTTTTATCCTTACAATCACAATCATAGGCATAGATTTTACAACTAAAACAAAATCCTTTTCTAAAGTTATCTACTTTATTATATTAGCTATATCACACTTGCATTGTCTACATCTTTTATGTAAGTTCTTTAAAAGATATTGCGGAATATTTATAGTGATATATTATCTGTTATGAGCTTCAAGTATTATACGTATAGCGTGGCGGAGTCAGGGCACTGTCTTCTAAATCCATAAGTCAAGCTAAAGCTTCTAACAGCTACGTAGATCAGGTAGTGCTTGTTAATTTTTTAAGATCAAGCGCAAAGGATTATCGGGTCTTTCAGATATCCCCACTGTTAAACAAATTCTTCTAAAACATTCTTAGCAATGCGAAACTTTTCTAGTTTTTAAACAAAAATTAACAAGTATTTAGTTTGAAGATACTTTTAACGGCTTAAATTGCGAATTCGGGAAGTTTTTTTTATCAGAGTCAGCAATATTTAAGTTCGAAGTATAAGCTTACATAAATTATCCCGAAACTAGTCGCCAAATTTGTTAACTTAGCTCTTTGTTGGAGGTAACTACTTCTTTATCTTCAATACTGTTATTAGAAACAATTGGCTATTTTAATAATTAGAAACTATTATTGTTTAAATGAGCGCTGAAGTGTTTTGGGCTTCCAACCTATCCCTTCTCCAAGCTGCCTATGAGTTCTATGAAAATTTTATTATTAAAAAAAATAAATAAAACTAAGAGTTTCGTGCTGATAAAGTATAATTAAAAAAAATGTTAAAAAAAATTGGAACCAAATGTTTTTATCGTATAAACTTTATGTGAAATAAATATTGATAGGGCGTATTCCCAAGAACACGTGGTTTTTTAATAAACTTTTGTCTGCCAATTTCAACTGCTATTGAAACTCTTTTTATAGTTGTTCAAGTTAATTCACCACAGCAGAGCAATTCGGAGGGGCTGTCAAAGTTCTAAAGGGATAGAAGTTTCCTTTTCGTTATGATTATTGTTTTTAGTACTAGTATTTATTTTAAAGGGTTAGCTACAATCTACCCTTCTACCCAAGTGTAAAAAAGCTAAACACTTCATAGAAGAAATTTTTTTTTCGCTTTTTAAATAAAAACAGATAGTAGTTACAGTTAATTAATGGCAGCTAAAAATTTTTCAGCCTTAAGTGTATAAGAAGTTAAAATAAGATTTTGAAGGGGGGGCTGCACACGCATAATTTAAATGTGTTTTGACCTGTGAAAGTGTAGAAATTTCGATTAGTTTATTGGTCCGACTTATGGAAGGGCAACTGTCCTTTTTGTATAGGTGGGATTTTGTTGTTGCGCGTAACAAAGGGCTTGATGCCAGAAGGTAGCTTCTATCATCTATGTGAAATATATTTTAATTGATGCCGTTACTTATCATTTTAGTTTTGTTACTTTTTTTTAACAGTAGTGCAGACTTTAGTTTACTTTTTTTTCGATTATATATATCTATTCTGTTTATATTTATTCAAATTTATATTAGTTTGTGGTTGTAACTATTTTTCATTGTAGCTAGTTTTAACTTTTAGGGAATTATAGTCTTTTGTGAATACTTTTAAGTGTCTTTTATACAGACAACTTTTTTTTCTAATAAGTTTTCTTGCAGAAGCTAACAAATCATCTACTAGCGAAGATAAAGCTGATAACTTGAGGTTCGCTGTTAACAAGCTTTCTGGTGTTTATAAAAGGTTACTCTACGCTAAAGTTAAAATATTGCTTTTAACAGAATTACACAGTAAAGAAAGAGACAGAGTCTACAGGAAAGCCACCCAACCCACACCTTCCCATGGCGGGGGAGTGAGGGATGATGTCTTGGAAAGGATTCAAGACAGAGAAAAAGAAAAAAGGAGTAAACATTATAACTTTTATTTGCCTTTTAGGAGCTTAGTTTTGCTTTTTTTGAAATAGTTAACAAACTGAGTTTATTAAGGGTTTTTTAATTTACTTCAGTCATATAATAATTATATAAATGCTTAAATTATTTATCGAAAAAGGTCGCCTACATTATGGATATTCCCTGGATAACAAGTGCTTTTTTAACGGCTTATCTGCTTACTTATAATACTACTTTGTAAATAGACTTACTTCTCTTAAGAATAAGGAAAGAAGTCGATCTGAGGACTTTCGCGAGCGTAGTTTTTTTTACGTTATATCTCATCTATATATATTTTTAAAGTTTATTATTTAAGCTTTACGGAAGGAAAGAATACGGGATCGAGACAAACTTTGCCATAACTCAGGCTTCATTTGGGACAGTGGAGGATCTCGGTCCGATGAACTGGCCCGTTATGGACGGTGTAGCAGAGGACGCTCTTCATCACATTCCAGCGAAGGTTTTTTTTTTAATATATATTGTATGGTAATTATTTTTAATAATTTGCAGACATTCGCACTCCGTCGCGTTCGTCCTGGGATTCTGACAAAACGCCTCGACGTGACGATGATCCTTGGAGGTTCCTTCAGACAATACTTCTCTTTACTTTAATTACTTGGTCTTTTTTTTTCAGAGTTACACCCTCGCGCTCTACTCGGTAATGAATCGACTGCTATTTGTTTGTTGTTCAGTGGATATTGCTTATATATATTGTACTGATTTACTTTACCTTCAAGGAGATCACCTCACCTCGGGACGCCTCTCCCCACTCCCTCTTACATGTACAACGAATGGGCTGGTCTCCTCTCGTTCTATCAGTGCGCTCGCAAAGTTCTTGCTGACTTAAGGCTTTAAAAGACAGTAGGCGTGTGAGGGGGGCCACTCCGGGTGCATCCAACGGCAAGGACGGCGCCGAGGCTGCCTATTCGTTCAAAACGGAAGAAGAACGCGTCAATTGGGAAAATGTAGTTTGTCGGTGTTGCGCACTTTGCATGAAGGATTGTCAATATAAATATATTAGGATCAAAGAAATCTGGACCGACTGTGGTACCAGAGTGACGAGGGCTTCGATGCTGAGGTTGATCCTTGGGGCTATTCGGAGGTACAACTGCCGGCACTCTGTAATAAATATCACGACAACACCTCCTACTGGAAAGGACTCAGTGAGGGCGAGAGAAGAGCAACTTAAAAAACGTCAAAGGCGCCAGAAAACAGCTCTTCAGCAGCAAATTAATAGGTAAAACAGCGCTATTGCATGAACAGTTGAGTGTATTCCATCATTTTTTTATATTTTAGAGACAATGAGAGGTGGGAGACCAATAGAATGCTTACTAGCGGCGTCGTGGCACGAGTAGCGTTCAATAAGTTCTTTATTATCACTGACGTTATTCTGTTGCTCGAAGACGAATGTGAGCGACGATTTTGAGGAGGACTCGGAAGCACGAATATATTTATTAGTGAAGAACATTGTTCCTCCTTTCCTTGACGGCCGCCTTACTTTTACTAAGCAGCAAGGTGTCATATCACTCTGAAGATGAATATTATTAAAACGATTAATATTGGTATTTGCAGAGCCTGTCATCCCTATAAAAGATGTCACTTCTGATATGGCTGTGATTAGCAAGAAAGGCAGCCAGCTGGTTTCCGAAATGCGTCAACGCAACGAACGACTTAAAGGTCTTCTTTAATTATATTATATATAATTTTTACTCATCATTGGCTATTAACGCTTGTAGGACAAAAACGAGAATGGGAAGTAGCCGGAAGTAAAATAGGACAAGTAATGGGCGTAAAGAAGGAAGAAGTATGATCTTTTTTTTATAAACGATTGATGTTTCTTTATTTTTTTTATAAAGTCTGCATTTGTATTGTTCATCATGCAGACACTGTTTTTTCATTACTTTATGTTTTTATGGCTATAAGGATAATTCTACCAAGAACACGGACGACGGAAACTACAAGAAGGACTCCCAGTTTGCCGTCCACATGGAAAGCAAAAGCGAGGCGAGTTCCGTTTTTGCGAGAACCAAAAGGTGCGCTCTGTGCTCCTTTAGCGTTCTTCTGCTACCTATTGCTCGGCATAATGCAAGTGCAGCATCAAACAGCAGCGACAGTATCTCCCCATATTTGCCGCCAGACACGAACTTTTGCAGGTCATCAGGGACAACAAAGTTGTCATTATTGTTGGTCAGACGGGCAGCGGAAAAACCACTCAGCTGACTCAGGTGCTCGGCTTTTCTGCAAGGCCTACTAGTATTCGCCGCCTATGGTGCTTTGCTAGTATTTATACGAGGAGGGGTACGGAAAGGACGGCCTCATTGGATGCACGCAGCCCCGTCGTGTAGCCGCCATGTCTGTTGCTAAGCGCGTAAGCGAAGAGATGTCCTGCCGGCTCGGCGGTCTCTACTGGCCATTTTATGGCATGCTGGCAGTCAGTAATTCTACAACTTTTAATTTCAGATAAAGTCGGCTACTCCATCCGTTTTGAAGACTGCACTTCCAAAGTTTTTATATTGTATCGTTAATATCAGTTCGATAAACTTTTTTTTTGCACTATTATAAGGAAACAGTCATCAAGTACATGACGGATGGTATCCTTCTGAGAGAGTCTCTGACTAGCCCTGACTTGGATCAGTATAAGTACGCTTTTTACAAGCTTGACCTTTTCTTTGGCTTGTACACTTTTTTTTAATAATTGCCAGCGCTATTATTATGGATGAAGCGCATGAACGCTCGTTAAACACTGATGTGCTGTTCGGCATTCTCAAGGGCATCGTCCGAAGGAGGTTTCCAGAATTCTACTGAAAATTGTTGTCGCTATTCTTATGATAACACAGACGGGATTTAAAGTTGATTGTGACTTCCGCCACGATGGACTCGGAAAAGTTTTCTGCTTTTTTCGGAGACGTTCCCTGCTTTACTATTCCCGGCCGTATCGCCCTTTTTTTTTTTTTAACTTTTTTCCTGTGTGCCATCCCTATGGCCCTCCATTCTTTCGTCAGGCACCTTTCCTGTCGATGTCCTCTACTCAAAAAACGTTGTAGAAGACCACGTGGATGCCGCGGTAAAGCAGGCTATTACTATTCACCTCCAGTATCCGCCAGGTCACATGCTCATTGCTTACCTTTACCGCTGATCTTTGACCATAGCGCTTTTATTTAGGAGACATACTCATTTTTATGACGGGCCAGGAGGACATAGAATGCACATGTACTGTTATGGCTGGTGTGACTCTTTATTATTTAAATGAATATTTTGAATTATATATTTGTTATTCTAGAAAGGATAGAGGCTCTAGGGGAAGAAGTCCCGCCCATCTCGATTCTTCCTATCTACTCTCAGCTGCCCTCTGATTTGCAGGCCAAGATCTTTCAGAAGGCCGAGGGGTTCTGCTTTGTTGCGCTTCTGCAACTTTTGATAATCCTTAAACTGTTATCCGTTAGCAACAGCAGAAAGTGTATTGTCGCCACAAATATTGCCGAGACTTCCTTAACGGGTCGCTTTTCTTGTTCCCACAAATTTTATAGCCTTTCTTATATGCTCACGTGTTTTTCCGCTCTTTGCAAAAGTTGATGGCATCCTTTATGTGGTTGATAGCGGTTACTGCAAGCTGAAGGTATATAACCCCAAAATCGGCATGGATGCTCTGCAGGTACTATTGCTCCCCCTTTCGTCTACTCACCACTGCCTTATTGACTTCTCTGAGGTCTTTCCGGTCAGTCAAGCCAATGCTAACCAGCGGTCCGGGAGAGCGGGACGGACCGGCCAGGGGTTTGTGCATTAATATGCTATAGTAGCACTAGTATGCCTTTTTACTGAAGCATAATTTTCATTGGTTTGTAACAGGACTGCATTCCGTCTTTTTACTGCAACTCAGTACGCCAATGAGCTTTTACCCGGCACCGTTCCTGAAATCCAGGTAAGTCTGTTTTATTTTCTTTTATTGGCAGTCAATAACTGCCCTCAAGCGAACTAATCTCTCCAATGTTGTTTTACTTCTCAAATCGCTTGGCGTGGATAACTTGCTGGACTTTGCCTTCATGGATCCCCCTCCTCAGGTGGCGGTAGTGGCGTCTGCTTTACTATTATTGACTCATGCTATGGTATAGGAAAACATCCTGAATTCCATGCACCAATTGTGGGTCCTGGGTGCCCTGGACAACACGGGGGCCCTCACAGAACTTGGAAGAAAAATGGGTTCAGCTATCACCGTTGATTGGTTGTGGGCTTTTTTTTATTTATTTTATATTTGAAGTTGATTTTCCTGTGGATCCCTCCCTATCAAAGATGATTATAGTCTCGGAAACACTGCATTGTGCCGCAGAGGTCCACACTATCATTTACAATTCATTCCAAAATTTGCGGATGCCTCGCAGGTTATAACGATAGTAGCTATGCTCTCTGTGCCTACCGTCTTCTACCGGCCAAAAGGTCGCTCATGAATCTTGCTATAGTTTTGATTTTGGGTTGGCGTTACTTATTATAAAAAAAAGGCAGAGAAGAAGAATCGGATAGCGCCCGCGAAAAGTTTTATGTTCCAGAAAGCGACCACCTTACTCTCTTGAATGTCTACAACTTGTGGAAATCTCACAACTACAGGCATGAACTTCATTGAGTGAGCTGAATTATATCTCGATTGTTCATAGAATATCATGGTAGTGCATTGTGGGCTACTCAACATTTTTTGCACGCTAAAGCCTTGAGAAAAGTTAGAGAAGTGCGTTCGCAACTTCAAGGTTGCTATTCGTACCATTATGGTGACTGCGCTAATATATATTGTTCAAGATATTTTTCTATCAAAGAAAATGAATTTCAGATCCTGCGGCAAGTGTGTTCCCTTTTTATCTACTTGTGAACTTTTATTATATGTTTAACCGCTTTTTTGATAATTAGCGATTGGGATGTTGTGCGCAAGAGTATTTGTTCTTCTTACTTTTATCAGGCCGCCAAAGTTAAAGGCATCGGCGAGTATGCTAATCTTCGAACGGGTAATTCCACATTAACGTATAATATGTGCAATAAGCTCCAATAGCTCCATCGTTCTTATTTATAACTTTTATATTTTCTCGCAGGTATGCCGTGCCACTTGCACCCGACCAGCGCTCTTTACGGGATGGGCTACACTCCTGGTCTCTCTGTTTCTCTATTGGGCGCCTCGCGAACCTCCGCTTATCCTTTTTTTTACAGACTACGTTGTTTATCACGAGCTTGTAATGACTTCCAAGGAGTACATGCAGTGCGTCACCACCGTAAATCCTTCGACGGCTTGTCGGTTTTCCCCCAATAATTTTTTATTGTCGACAGGTCGATGGCGAATGGCTTGCGGAGTTGGGGCCGATGTTTTACAGCGTTAAAAATCCTGGACAGACGGCAGCGGTATTTTTGATACCTTTTAATTGGAATTATTCGTTACTTATAAACTTTTTACTTTCCATGTTTCCAGGCAAGAAGAAAAGCAGACAAAGAGCAAGAAAAAAGTATGGAAAGAGAAATGAAAGAAGCCAATGAGCGTATAGAGAAGGAAAAAACAGAGCAGCGTCTTTCAAGTCTCCAAAGTTCGAAGAGTCACGCGAGGTGTTTTGTCGCTTTCATAAAGTTTATAGATTTTGCTTTTTATTGCATGTAATTTTTTCAGAGCGGCTATTGTCACGCCAGGGCGATTGCCTCCAGGAACTCCACGAAGGCCTTTTAGAAACTTCGGAATATAGCCGTTCTTTACCTTCAGGCTTATGCCATCAACCTCGAAGAAAAGTACCACCCTTTTTATCAGCTCTTATGGATTACTACAGCCTTTTTATTAAGACCGTCACCGACCGCAAACCGGCCTTTTGTAATTAATAAAGCTTGTGTCACGATTGTAGTTTTCTAGTAGGAAAAGCTACTTGATGTAACGTTAGGTTGTCTGTTAAAAAAAGTTTTCAGCTAAAATATGCAGACAAGAAAATAAATAACTAAAATTAACGCAAATTAATTAATAGTACTGCGTAGATATCAATAAGTTAGCTGTACCAAGCGTTTTCCTATAAATTGGCGTTGCTTTGAAAATTAAGAATTTGAGCTTTTAAAAGCCAGTAAAAAGCGGATGTATATACAGTGTAATAAGCAGTGACTTTTTCTAAAAGCTCAAGCTCTGAAACTGACGTAAACTTTTTAAGTCGTATTTTAAGAGCATTTTTATAAATTTTGCTTTAAAAGTTGCTCTTGCTTGTGTCGTAAAAAAAAATTCCCAATTATTACGCATATTTGAGCTTATTTAAAGTTAAGAATTAAAGTCGTTTGAAAAGAATAAAACTTAAAAAAAAAAGTACTCATGCTCTTTTAAAGTCTGAATTATCCTGCCGTCGAACTTTTAAATCTTAGCTAATTAGTCGCACGTGATAATCGTTAGGACTTAGTTCCTCGAGAAGTAAATATCTGCTCCCTTTTCTCTCAAGCCTAATAATAAATAATCTATTTTGCTTGCCTTGTATGAAGCTATTTTTATTAAATTACATGTGCTTTCATTTAAACTTTATTTACGTTTTATGGCTTAAGTATTATCCATTAAACCCCGTACTAAAAAGTTTAATTTTATTACGAGTTCTAATTGTACTAGTCAAAACCTGGAAATAAGAATTTTAATTCTCACAAATAGAGTATGATTTATATGAAAATGAGTTTAGCTGGTAATTTGATCTTAACAACTCTACGAATCTTAATTTATTTAAGTAACCTATCTACATTACATTAAAAATTTTTGGAAAGGTATTGATTACTGCTGGATAGTGGATAGCCCCCTTACGAAAGGTTATGTTTTACCTATTACTTTTCTGCATGTGTTTAGGTTACATAAGCCTCATAACCTACTATTTTATTAAACTTAGTTAATTTTTTTTTGCTTATTCTAAAGAACTGATCTTTATAGGCTTTGTTACTTACATTAACTTAAAGTCGCATAGCTTTCAAGGTAGCCACTTAACCATTTAAGTGTTTTGAAAACATATTTTTAAAAACTTATTCACTAAGCACCTATTAACCCACTTCTGCTCTCTTTGTTTAAGCTCATACTTGGTAAAGTCCGTAAATTCCCAACCTCCGATATTGAATAAAAATGCGCGGGCTTTTCAAAACATTATTTTTTTAACTCAGTAGCTTGTGAAAAAAACTTTAACCATTTTTCTTTTAAACGTTAAAGCAATAATCAACTAAGTGATGTCGTGCAAAGAGTTTTTACATTTGTTTAGGCTGAAGTGAGTTTAGTGATAAAGTTTCTTACTGAAGAGGTCGTTAAACCTACAGGAACTAAACAACGTTTATAATGTTGGCGGCCCTTCGCCGTCTTTAACCACAGGGAAAGAATGGTCACAGCTATTCGTTTATCTATTGAAGTTGATCCACGTCGAGGTCGTTTAGCAGGAGTGGTCACAGGAAAATATAAATTTATTGAAGTCGGGTACTAGATGATCGCCGTTTAAGTGCAAAGGAACTTGCAAAATCTACCAAACTTCCAAACTCCCAAAACCACGGTTTTTTGAACTCTTAACGACCACTTACATAGGACAAAGGAAAGCGCAAGAAGGCTGCCCTAACTTCTCGTCCTACTTCAAAAACAAAGTGTGGATTGCTGTTGAATTTTTAAGCTTTGCCTCGATAATATAAAAAGAAATAACTGAGTCCGATGTTACTGTAGAAGAGCTATGGTTCTTTACTATGATCCTCAGTCGAAAAAAGTATCCACAAAGTGGCATCGTCTAGGTGAGCCACCATCAAGAAACCAAGGTTAATCTACAAATAAAATATAGCCACAATCCTCTGGGATTTCTAGGGCACTTTTATGTTAAATTTTAAATAGGGAAACACTACCGTAAAGGACGTACTACCCAAGTTCATTGCATGCACTGCGTGAAGCCATCAAATAAAAACGGCGAGAAATGCCTAGTCGAGGCGTGGGGCTTCCGCACGACAAAGCCCAGGTTCATACTGCTGCAATCGCTTAAGCTTCAGTCCGTGAGTGTGGACTGATTGGGCTGAACCATTCGACTCAACAGTCAAGACCTGGTCCCCAGCGACCGTTTCCTCTTTTTGCAAAACTGCAAACGAACTTAAGGATGAGGGCATTTTCCGAAGATAGTGAAGTAAAATCGGATATTCATGCACGTTTTTAAGGCAAAACTTCAGATTATACTTATGGGGGTTTAATAATTAATTCACCGGTATAAATGTGTTGAAAAGCAAGATATTGAAAAATTATGTAAAATTTTTTTGTTGTCGTTTCTAAATTCCTTAGGCTGAGAACCACGTCAAATTATTATTAAAGGCAAGCTAACACCGAGATATAACAAGGTATGCATTTATACGTAAATATACACCAAGCGAGTAAGTTTTAAAAGTACGGAAAACAGCTATGAATTTGTTATTCCCGACAACTTAACCAGTGGCAGCTTTAATTAAAATATCAACGTAAGGTTTTTTAACTTAACTTAGCATTTAAAGTCAAAATCATTTAGAGATAAACGTCATTACTATACATTTCTGTTAGCTTTTAAGTAAGGGCTAAAATTAACTAAAAATAAAAAAAACACAAAATAACCGCCTTAAAGCAAAAATCCTTTTAAAATTTTATTATTTTGGCACTTTAACTAAAGCTTTTCTATATCTTAAAAGCAAAACTATTCAGACGAGACTACCACCAAAAGCTCATGGGAAGCTTATATCAGATAAAAAACTTTTAAAAGCAGCCCTTAGAAACTGCCTCGGACGAATTTTAGAGGAAAAAGCCGTTGTCAATCGCAATATTAAAAGTCGATTTTGTAAAACTTGAACTAAAAAATAATAAGGTGAACAAAAAGGTATAAAATTTATGCCCTTCTAAACCTAAAAATAACCCACACCCGCAGCTGTGGTTTTTTTAAGTATTAAAACTTTTTATAAACCTGCAACAAAACAAACAAACGCAGTTGTGTATTTACTGAAAAAGAAGACAACATTCTAATGGCTTGCAAGATTATACCTGTCACAAGCTTTACACGCACGCTGCGTAGTGGATAAGGAGTTTTGCTAACTTGGAAATACAAAACAATAACACTACTAGAAAGCTGATTTCTTTGAAGACAAAAGCGGAGATTATTTATTGGGAAAAACTAACATAAGTCCCGTCCCACGATTGTGAGTTGCACATGCCCTCCTTATAGGGAATACAATTGATATACTGACAAGGGCCGCAGAAATCATCGCTTGCGACCGAGAAGGTGTAGAATCCCATGGCAAGCATGAGTATTAGGAGCGGAAAAAATATTATTAGTAAAATTCTTTTCCGGTGAATATCGTGCCTACTCAAACACAGAGACGCAGTTGTAAAATAATGAGCAAAGCAAAAACGCCTCGTACTTTCCAAAAGTTATGTAAGGCAGAAAAACAACAGCTGCGAATAATCCATACAGAAAACCTGTTGAAAATAAAATTATAATAAAACGCTAATATAAAAATGAGTTGACCCCCGAAATGAGCATAATTATCCACGTAAGGAAGAGTGCCGATCCCAAGAGATATTAAAATAGTGACTCCCAAAATGATTAGCTCCCTGTAGGGATGCTGCATGGAGAAGACATCGTCCCACAAAAATTGTAAATCCCATAATAAGCACACCTCTAAGTATCTCCAATTTTGGCCAAGTTCAACCACGAGAATTGACATGAGGCCATACAGTGCACCAGATGAGCCAACCTATTGGCTTTAAAAAAAACCAAAGAGGAGGACAAGTCCGAGCAAACCTGAGTAACATATGGTGAGAAAATCCCTGAAACTATATTTCCTCCAATGCCGCTTATCAAAAATATTAGAAAAAAACGCAAAGGGCCGCATTCCGACTCAATCTTTTTAGTTAAAAAACACTAAAAAATAAACTTCGTGCCCTAAAACAAAATCTCACCCTAAATCCGATCGTCACTTGAAAGAGAATGTTCAAGACGAGATGGACAATCCCTGCGTGATAGAACATGGGGAGGATAAACCGCCACCATTGGCAGGGAAACTTGGGATCACTGATTCCGCCCATTCCGCAAACACTGCTTAAGCACGTGGGAACTTCGGAACACTTCTCTTTAATAGTAGCAACGTTTCATAATAGACGAACGATATATAACATAAATTGACCCAAGTCGTCGTAGCGGTGTCCTCCATAAAACTTGCACAGCTTTTCTCCGATATTCTCGCACTGACCAAATGTGCCGATGCAGCAAGGTCGATTAAAAACCTTTATAGCAGCACTCTGTGAGTTTATAATAGTTGATGGAGGAAAGTTAAACTTCGCAGGAGAGCGATGAGCATGCGGAGCCCTTATGTAGCATCCCTCCTGCTGCTTTACAATTAGCCTCTGATGTCTGCCAGCACCGCTTATTGGTTAAAAGACAGCATCCCTCTTCTGTGGTGATTCAAATGTTTAATAAGTATACCAACAACCGTAGAAGAGTAAAGACCAGATGTAGAAAACTTCGTGCGCTGAGTAATTTCGGCGGAATATACTTTATTATCACGCTTCATGCAAGGCGTGTATTTGGCACCTACGATATATTAAAAAGTCGTAAATAAAAAAGAGCCGGTGATACAGCCACTTGGCCACCCAGATGGATCAATGTTCCAGGCGCAACGCCGATCCACATGTTTTGATATGTGTTCCACTCTTCACCAGTGACTTTTCCGGTTATATCCTTTTTACTATAGTTAAGCTACTAATACCACAAGTTTAATACTTGTAAACCTCAATATTTGCCTTATAAGAGCTTATTCCCACGCCAATGGGCTCGACACCCAAATTAACACCAATTTCGACGATCATTAAGATGATCATCAAAGCAATACTGATGTAATTGATCCATGGGCGGTAGCGAGGCCTCGCGGCTGAATTTATACAGTGGATAAACGAAGAAGAGAAGTACAGAACAAAGCACAGGCCAACCGAATATCATTTGCGCTTCTTTGCTGAGCACCTTGAGTTTCTGTCCTTGTCTGTTGAATCTCAACGCTGGTTTCCCTACTGGTGGCGGGTTCACTAACGGGCGCTTAACTGGAGTTTGTCATTAATGATATTATTATTCTAGCACTCCACAGGAGAATACAACACCGTAAGCCTGTTTGCGAGGCTGCAACAACCGGTACTTGACATGGAGCTCAGGTTTGGCATTCGCCGGGACTCCAGCAGCGTTTAGTATAGGCCCTTCACTTTCGAACCACCTGGCATACGCATAGTGGGTCGGGCGGACGGTGTGCTTGTACTGCTCACGGCGGTGTAGGAGAAAAGACCGAGTATGCAAGCGAACCTGCAAGGGCATGAAAAACTATTATGTAATAAAAAATAACGAAAAACTTTATCAAAGCGCTCCTCTTTATCTTCCGCTTGGGTCAGTAACGTGCTAGATATACACAAATTAAACAAAGCATAGTCGAAATAAAAAAAGGAACAACTCGATTTCTCGGACGTTTTTTTCTTTAAATGCAAGAGTCTCCTCGTCCTCCGGTGGGAGTTCCTCGCTCTTTTCGTCTTCAACAGCTGCACGAGTTAAAATATTCTTTATAAATTAATCCAACGTTTACAAAAGGATAAACCTTGATCTTCAACTTGGTAAACGCCACTTTCGTCCTTTTCCTGATCTATCGAGATGTATGTTTCCTTTCTTTTTTTCTGTAACCGAGTCAATCTATAAAATGCTTAAGCACTTTTCCAAATAGTAAATAGAAATAGAAGAAAAACCTCCTTCTTATGGACATAGTCTTCCGACGGGAAAGACCTGAGGATTGATTCAAGAGCTGTTCCTCTCCGGCGTCCATATCGCCAAGCAAGTCGTCGGTATTAGCGGCACCGGCCCTCAAGCCCCACTCTGACGCTCCACCGGGCTTCGAAGATACGCCAAACCAAGTGGCTGCGCTTTCAGCCGCGGATATAATAGTTTTCAGTGCATTCGGAGGTGTGGAGGTAGAATCCTCCGGCGCTTTTATAATAAACGGTTTAAAAAGAGCAACACACACTTTTCTTTAAAAAAGAAAAGACCTGTTAATGAAGGGATTTTATGTTGTTGCGAGGTTTCTTTTAATTTTTTAAAAATCTGGCAAAAGTCATCAAGAGTGTAACACACATTATCAGCGTTGAAAGCTCCACTGCTTTCAGCAAAGTAAAATTAATAAGTTAATTAAATTATCTACGTTCCACAAAATTCTCTTTTTAGATAAAATAAAGTGCCCATAAACAAACTACAACTTTTACCTTTCTTTAACGAGATCATCTAAAAGTAGCTCGTAGTGACTAGCGGTGGAATTGGGTGCAATCTTCCCAAAAAATAAATATCAAGAATATTAAAAAAACATAATTTTCACAATAAAATATCAAAACGACCTCACTTTTTACAGCATGATAGAGGGAAAGCGCCTCCGAATAACTAAGTTTTAAGTCTCCATCAAAATCTAAGAGGCGAAAATTATCACCAATAACTGTGATTTCTTTTTTAGTAAGCATCTTGCATACTCAAAAAATTAACAAATAAACTTCGCAGCAGTTTAAAGAAATAAAAGAACAAAATAATAAAAAAACAAGCTAAGCAAAACAAATGGATACTTCAGTCACAACAATGACTATGAATGGTTTCAGTACGTTGCTTTAATAAGTGGTCTTTTCTTCAAACGCGTTAATTTACTGCGCTTCTATGAGAGGCTAGAAAATCGTAAACCGACTTGTAACTTAAAAATACGAGTTTTCATTGGACCAACATCTATACTATTTTTCTGACTCGCTATAATGAAAAATTAAGCGTTTCCATTATTAGATTGCCGTTCAGGAAGCATGTGTCCTTTTTTTTAGCAATGATGTTTTAACCTATTTACGTTTTTTAAATTAAATAAAGTTTGTATTAAAAACTTTTTAAAATTACGATCTTTCCTTAAACAGTGTTTATTTCAGCATAGAAGTTATTTTTCTTTCATAATTGAACTTAGTTTCATTGCGAATGCAGCTATTTACTAAAGTTTTTTAGATAAATAAAAAATTGCAGATGCGTACTTTTTCCCTTTTTTGCTTAAGTATTTTTTTTTAATGCTGAGTTTGTTTACTCTTGTACAACTGTCAGTATTTCCTTTTTGGATAACATTTTAGTATAGTAGATGAATCATATTACGAGTGACATTGATAGTGCCTTAACTGCTATAGTTAAGAGAAAATATATAATAACGCCACTCAGAGAATAAGATTTATTACTTATGTCTCTGCTTTAAGGTGTTGTGAGGGTAGTAGACAAGAAAAGATAGTAATTACTTTTAGAAAGTTCAGATGTATATTAAAAACACTGTAATAAGAAAAGTTGGGCCTTATTGACCACTAGTGGTTAATTTAACACAAACTATAGAAATATAGACTTTCAACGGATTTTAAAAATTAATTTTTGTTTGCTACATGTTATACTATACTCTTCTTTAATAATTCTTCCGCTTATTACGTGCTTGCGATCTGCTGGCGAAATAAACGTTCAACAGATTCTATGATTTACGCTAACAAGTGTTGATCAGGCCGTGCACAGCTGTTGAAATTTTCCGCAATAAAATTTACGCACAATCGCGGAAAAAGGGTCTAACCTCGACTCCACCAATTATTACTAACAAAACTCCATGAGTGGTCTTACTCTTGACTTCTCCTCGCAAACTCTAAAGCTGCTAGGTTTTTTTTAGTGTACAAAACGATTTCGGCCTTAAACCTTAGCTAATGACGCCTGATCAGCTTGCTCTCGCTAGTGGGTAAAGCTGTCGATGCTGGGTGGTTAGATGGTCTGGACATTTTATAACATTGAACAACCCTTGGCTGAAAGCCTACTGCGGTTCCGCAAGTTACCTGTAATGCGTGTTGAAGTGAAAAGAGCGTACGTACAAATTTTTGTTAGCAACATTCAAAGGTGGACCATCTATAGTTATCTTTCGATTAAAATTCATAACGTTTTAAATAATGTTTTACCTTATCAATAAAAATAAATTACCTTTTAAAGAACCAAATTTACAGCAAAAGTTATAGAATTATTGATCGTGGTTTCTTTTTGCCCTTAGTTGAAACGCATGTATTTTCATAAAATATTTAATTAGGCCCTGTACTGCCATGTAAAGATGAATCATCGCCAGTTAAGCAACCCTTGTAGATTCTATGCGCTTCTTTAAAGAGCCTCTTAAATTCATGGAATGGAACGTAACTTAAGCGAAAAATTAAAGACTAAATTTTCATACATAGAAGACGTTAGGCACTGAGTACGCTAATGTAGAGTTTATTAGAGTTATTAAATATTTACTCTAAGTACGGAACCCTATATAAGAGTTGACTTACGACTTTTAGTTTGTGAGGTTAACAATGAATAGCATCCCAGGAGCTGGTGGATAACTAGCAAATTCATAAGCTAGCAATCAAAGGGGGTTTCTAGACCTTCAAAAGTAGTATGCCTGATTACAATTAAAGTTATTTACATCTAAAACTTTCACAGTTGCTGTTGCCGAACTGTTGAAATTTTTTTAATGTACAAAATCGCAAGTTTAATAGCTGACCCTAACTTTTGCTTTAGCGTTATAGTGCTTTCTTGTTTTAAATTTTACCCCTTCCAAAGAATTAAGGTTTCATTATAATTATATTGTATTCGATTTTGTTTAGGTTCTTATAACATGAGAGGGTTATACAGTTTTAAATAAATATTTGGTTATAGACTTAAGAGCATTAAATTTGTAAAGCATAAATATTTGTGTTTTTCTTTGTTAAATGTTAATTACACCCATTAATGCTTTGAATATTACTACATTATCGATAGTATGGTCCTTGGAATTGTTTATACAATAATCTAATTTGTATATCCCACTATCTCCTAGTAGTATATTTTTTTATATAAGTTTAAGGCTTATCCATAGTTCTTTTAAAAATTTTTTAACTCGTTCGCTTTTCATATTCTTAGGAACTCCACTTTGAACTCGTTTAGTTTTGCTACTATGGCTTCTAACTCTATTCTAAATATATTATTAATAGATAAGAAATTGGCAACAGAGTCTTGTTGATTGCTTCCGGTAGAAAAGAAACTCATAGGGAAGTTAAGTATGAGAAAAAAAGGGGATAAAATATATATAATGTATAAATAGTTTATGCAACCAAGTAAATATAAGCAAATAGAAATAAATGTTAACAAGAAAATATTGTAAATAATAACATACTTCTATTCATTTATTAATAACTTTTTCTTGGTACTTAAATTTTTGCCGTATTATTTTTTAAATGAATGTAGAGGAAGCTAAATTGAACTTGGAAATCAGGACTTTCCCTGCACTGTACTTACCAAAACGAGTACGTATGATTAATATATATATCCTCTTATTAGTGCAAGTACCTAATAATGAAAGTAATAAAATCAACATTAAGTATTGCATTTTTGTGGAGCCAATAAAAAATATGGCAGAACTGGCCAATGTTTTCGCAGCTTATTAATAGATATAATACTAAATTTAGCATTTCTCAGTATGTGTTAAATGTGCGAAAAACCACGTTTCCAGATTTTGCCCTAACTCTAAGAAAGGCAAACATGGATGTGTAAACTACCTAGGTTTAGCACACGGCAAGCTACAGAACTTGTCTGTATTACCACAACAATACAGAGCTTAGAAAAAATAGTTATAGGGATAATCCTATACCTCATGCTCAGAAAGACGTGGTACTGCTTGGGTAAAGCTACGCTCCAGCAAAAAAATTGGCGAACATACTTAACTTTTAACTCTCGAAGAACTTATTCATCAACTAATAGTCATCTCTTTCGCTGAGGTAGTGAATACCTAAATATTTGCAATGAAACTACAAAAATAATAAACATAGTTTTATATACTTACCTGGAACGCCGATGGTACACGAGTTAAAAGAAAACTTAAAAGTTAATCTTAAAATAAAATTATCGACCTTGTTTTGAATAACGACATTAAGCCTTATATAACGCTTAAAGATGGGGAGTTACACAGAGAGAGGTTTAAAGGTGTGTTATTGTTTACTTATAAATCACGTGCTTGTCATCTTAGGGTGCCACGTAAATTAAACACGTGTCTTTTAAATTCACATTTCAGAGTACTCCTTTGCTCTTCCTAAAAGTATAAATACCCTTCCTCTACGATAAAGTGAGAAGCGCTCCTCTTATTCTCCGTTAGTTTGTAATTGAAATTTTTATATAAGCAGTATTAATAATTTACCTTTTGGAAATGAAAAAAAAGACTATTTTAAGCTCTTATACTCCCATTTCCTGTTGCAAGCAAATAAAATACCTGGGAATAATTAACTTTGGAATTAACTGCAAGCCATATATTAAGGAATTGTTAAATATTAAAAGTATAACTTCTGCCTTATATCCTCTCATAGGCAAAAGAAGCTTATTGAATTTTGAAAATAAATTCCTTTTATATAATGCTATTACCAAGCCTATTACAAGTTACGCAGCAGTATCTTGATCCTACTGCTCTTCTTTGCATATTAACAGAACCCATATTCTTTAAGGACAACACCCTTCTAAAATGTTTACAGACGCTTCTGGGTGCGAAATTTAAACAGCCTCGTGTATGTGGAGTAAAATTTTTTTTGCCTTACCTTAACGAATGACTTCATAATGTTATAACCAAAATGATATACATCCTAACAGTTTAATAGCTAACGCAATAAATGACCAGCATATTTTTTCCTAAAATATGAAGGACCTAAACATTGTTTCATATATCTAGCAGATTAAATATTAGTTTACATATTGGGATAAGAAGAAGAAAAAAAGATGATTAACGCATAAAATTAAAGAACATCGCTGTTTTCATGTTATAAAAAAGGTCTTGGATGTCATACGGTCTTTAATTTTACTAGTTTAATACTCCTTGATTATTCCGTTTCATTACTTTATACAATTACTCAGGTGTATATATGTACTTGGCAGCTACAGGCGAGCTTGAGATTCGCTTATTATTTTAATGGTCGAATGTCGATTCGTATTCTATATTTAATTCTGTTCTTAGATATCTTGATATGTTCTGTTCTTGGAAATTTTTTTAAAAAAATCTATATATACGTATACCTGTAATATATTTTTCTTCTGGCCTGCACCAAACCATTTTATCGTCATGGAAATAACAACCTCTATTCGGTTCATTGCGCCAAAGGCCTTAAATTTTCAGAGGCTACCTTCCATACCCCTCTTTCTAATGAGGGAATAAAGAGTGAGAGTTTTAACTCCTTATAGGTTACTGGTTACTATGTTTAGCACTTGTCGATTAGGTTCAATTTTGCAAAGGTAGGTCTATAGCAATTGACCCTAAACGACAGGCTTGGTCTCTGAAAAAATCTCTGATAAGTTTGACTACCATGTTCTAACGGATTAGCAGCAACCAACAAAATATAAAAAAGTGGTAAATATAGTTACCAGGGAACGTAAAACAAATCTATTGAAAGCCCCAGAGTTTTGCCCGTTAAAGGGTTAAATTATAGCAGATATAATGACTGAAG